GATTCAATAATGAAAATACTCATGATTTGAAAAATAAACAAACATTACCTCCACTTCCACTTTCAAATAATGATAATAATTTTAATATCAATGTGAATATAAATAACAACAACAATAATACAACCACACCCACAATCACAACCACAACTACAAATACTACTACTACTAATAATAATAATAATAATAATAATAATAATAATAATAATAATTATAATTATGGATATAATAACTATAATAACCCTTTAATACCTGGTAATCTTCAGCATAGTACCAGTAACAGTAGTTTGGGAAGTGTCGACTCGTTCGATTCACCACGAAGCACATTATCATCTCCATCTCTTTCATCATTAAGTTTAAATAGCAATAACCAAAATAATAATAATAATAATAATAATAATAACAATAATAATTATAATTACAATAGTAATAATGCAACTCCACCAATTTCACCATTATCTACTCCTCCAATTACCCCACCTCTATATAATTATCAATCTCCTCAAGATTCACCAAGAAACCCAAATAGTCCAAGAGTTGACCCTTTAGTTGCCCAGTTGACCCAAATGCAATTATATAAAAAACAGCACGAGCAAATGTTAACAAAAAGTATGGGTGAAGTTTGGAATACAATAAATCAAGATCTTGAGGATCCTACAAAACCATCACCATTACCTTTGGCTAGAATAAAGAAAATTATGAAATCGGATCCAAGTGTTAGGGTATTTAGATTTTCTATATTTATAAAAAAAAAAAAAAAAAAAAACTAATTTTATGAATTTTCAAATTTATTTTTTTAATAGATGATATCTTGGGAAGCTCCACTTTTGTTTGCTAAAGCTTGCGAGTTTTTTATTTTAGAGTTAACAGCTAGATCGTGGATCCATACAGATTTAAGTAAAAGAAGAACTCTGCAGAGATCAGATATAATACACGGTGTTTCAAGGGTGGAGGCTTTTGATTTCCTAATTGACGTTTTGCCAAGGGATGAAATCAAACCGAAAAGAGTCGAAGATGCTATAAAACCATCATATATTAATTCTCCTGATGGTTTTCAATATATACAATATTTACAATTACAAACAGTTTGGCAAGAGAGAAGGCAAAAAAAAATAGGTATTAGAATAGATCCAATAAATGCAAAATCAAAATCAAATAGTAATAGTAATAATAATAATTATGGTTATAATAATAATATGAATTATAATAACAATAATAATAACAATAGCAATAATAATATGAATAATAGTATGAATAATAACAACAATTATAACAACTATTTAAATTATAATAATAATAATAACAATAATAACAATAGTAATAATAACAATAATAATATCTATAATAATATGAATAATAGAAATCCTGCAGCCTCCCATGGTTTACAATATAAGTAGGTTAATATCCCCGCAAATTCACAATATAGCCAAAACAACCAAAATGGTAATCAAAATAATCAAAATAATCAAAATAATCAAAATAACAATCAAAATAACAATCAAAATAACAATCAAAATAATAATCAAAATAACAATCAAAATAATAATCAAAATAATATAAATATGAATAATAATAATCAACCATTAGCCCTAATACCCTCTCATTACAATATAAACCAAACTCCTCACCAGCACTATCAATATAATCAATATAATCCACAGTTTTATCAATATCAACAAATGCATAATTATCCCCATCAATCACAATATTATAATCAACCTAATATAAATAATCAATATTACCAACAACAACAACATCAACATCAACAACATTATAATCAATATCAGCAACAACATCACCAACAATATCAACAACAACAACAACAACAACAACAAAATATACACCAACAATCACAGTACCAAAGTGATGAAGATATTGACTCCGAATCAGAATCTGAAGAATAAGAGTTTATAATATTATAATGATATAGTGATAATATTAATAAAGCAACATATAAAAAGAAAAATATAAAAAAAAGAAGAAAAAGAAAAAGAAAAAAAAGAAAAAAAGGAAAAAAAACTAAAAAAAAAAAAGATCATATATTTACCTTTACCGTGATCATATAGTCAAAAGTAAGGTTACCTTTTTTTTTTTTATTTAAAAATTATTTTTTCCTTTATTATAAATTAATTGTATTAAATTACAATTTCTTATCTATATATTTAATAAATAAAAATTAAAAAATAAACCAATAAAAAAAAAATTAAAAGTTTTTTTTTTTTAGAAAGTTTTATAAAGAAATTGTTTATTATTATTTTTTTATTCTTTGTTTTACAAATTATAGTTTTTTTTTTAAATATTATTATGCGTTTTTAATATTTATTTTTAAAAATTTTATTATTATTATAATTTTATTTATATTATTATTATTATAGTTATAATATTGATAATATTTATTTATTATTTATTATTTATTTATTTTAATTTTTACCAGCTAATAGTTTCATTACAAATTCATTTACAACTAATAAAATACCGCCACCTGGACCTAATCTAAGTACTTTTGGAAGGAAACCTTTATATAATGCACCAATACCTTCTTCTCTGGCAACAGTGAAAATGGATGGAATACACCAATTGTATTTTCTAACACCACCAGTTTGATTTTGGATTCTACTTTTAACAACATCAGCAGGGGTATTTAATATAGTACCAAAAGTACCAGCTAAACCACCAGCAACAAAGTTATTTAATAAAGTTTGTTTTTCATTAGTTGGCTTTGGGAGGGCTGATTTTACAGTATGAATTAAACCAAAGTAACCACCATTCCAACAGGCATGTCTCCAAACAGTTGATTCTAAACCTTTGAAAAATCCAGTAAAACCTTCAGCACGGAATGTTTTAGCAACACAATCAAGAGTGCTAGTATATTTACCCATATTTTCTTTGGCTTGCAATCTAATTTTTACAAGTTCGAATGGTACAACAATAAATGCTTCAGTGATACCAGCTAAAACACCAGCTCCAATAGCTTGACCTTGTGTTGGTTTAGCATCTATATTTTAAAATTAAAAAATAAATATTAGTATTAGTTTTTTTACTTTTTTTTTTAAAATTATAATTATGATACATACTTCCATAAAAACTTAAAATTTGTTTTTCATAAAATTTATTTGAGGCAAATTTGATGGCTCTTTTTGGGGCTTCAACTAAAATTGGTGGAACAATACCTCTGTACATTTTAATACCATCATGTTTAACCATATGAATTAATGATGTCATCATTGATTCTCCTTGACCTACTTTGAGTTGTTGTCTTGTTTTAACTACATCTAATGGATACATTACTAAAATTTCGCTTACACCAGCAATACCACCTGAAACAAAGTTATGCCATAAAGGTTGGCTTTTTTGAACTGCTGGAGCAGCTGGTGGATTACCTGCATTGCCACTTGACATCTTCTCTTTTATATAAATTTAATATATATATAATTTAATGAAATAAAAATAAATAGAAAATATGAAAAATAATATATTTAATTAATTGACCGAATATTTATAATAAAATAAAATTAATTTTTTTTTTAAAAAAAGATAAAAAAAATAAATTTAATTAAAAAAAAAAAAAAAAATTAATTTGATTATTATTTAAAAAAAAAAATAAAAAAAAATAAAAATTTTTTTAATTTTTTTTTAAATTTCATCATTTATTGTCAAATATGAAAAAAAAGAATTATAGTAATAGTCTTTACATGAATTATTTTTCATGTTTATGAAAAAAGTGGTTTGTGACTTTTTTTTTTTTTTTAACTCCAATTTTCTAAAATGGAAAAAAAAAAAAATTTTAACATTTGTACAATCCTTCTTCATTATGGTCTCAATCATAAACAGTTATAATACAATTTGTCAGGGCACCAAAAATATTAAAATATTATATTATTAATATATTTTTGTTTATACCTTTTTTTTAAAAAAATTTAAAAAATTCTTACCAAAGATGGTTTCTATACATTACACAATATTTAATGAATACCATTACACATGGTGATACTTTGCCATGATCGATATTTGATTTAATCGAACCAATTAAATATCTATGAGAATTAGCAATTTATTTTACCGATATACATTTATAGAACTTTTAATTAAAACTTTAAAATTAACTTACACAATGAATAAACTAATGGATAAATAAATAAAAATTTGTATAAAGTTATAGCTTTTTATTTCAAACTAGAGAGGCAATTAAAACATACTCAGATCATAATAAATTAAAACCCTTTTTTTTAAACTTTTCTATATTTATATAATAATTAATAGTTTATATTTTTATTTATTTTTTTTATTATTTTCATTAAAGTTTTTAATAATAATATCTAGTGATTGGGATATATTATGGCTTTGTAATTGTTGTATTGTAATTATATTTCTACCGAATTGATTATCTAACCAGTTCTTTAATTGAACAATAACCAAACTATCGAGACCATACTGAGCCAATTGGAATTCCAAGTTGATTTTTGACCCATCAATTGAAAGTAAATCTGATATTTTATTTATAATTTTAAATTTTAAATTTTCTTCGCCATTGCCACCATCTATCGTTATTTGTGACTTTTTAATCATATTGGATTCATAGTCAAGTTTATAAAAATTATGGTTTGGTTTTGAGGATACCATATTTTCAAAATCAAAACTACACAAACAATAGTTTGAAAGATTGTTTTTATCTTGAAGGAAGAGGTCTAGTGAAATTAATATTAGTTGGATTGGAATAAATTTAAATTGTGATGCTTGCAACATTGCTTCGACAGCATCATTTCTTGAAACAAATCCAGTTGATGAGAATGCACCTAAATTTACTGATAGTGACGGTAGACCAATCGATTTTCTATATTTTGATAATGAGTCAATTGTATTGCAAGAACTAACATAACAACATTGTCTAAATGAACCAGTAATTGATGATGCAGATGATGCTAAAATAAATTGTTTTAATTTCCATGAACGTTGAATTGATTCATTGTGTAAATTGATTGCACCAATTGTTTTAGCACCATGTGTGAAATTTAAACAATTCATATCGATTTCTTGAACATCGCTAATATCAGTTACAAATGCAAAGTGTATTACTGTATCAATATTTGTAATGTTTGAAATTGATTCCAGGTTATTAAGTACATTGTGAACTTTATTACTATCTTCAATATCGATTTGAACAAAGTGAAAATTAATTATATTATCTTTTTGATTTTTAGTTTGATTTATTAATAGTTCTAATTCCCATTTTAATGGTGATTTTGATAAAATTATAATATTTTCGATTGATTTGTTTGAATATTTAACCATCCATTTGATTATTTCTAAAATAATGCCTGCTTGCCCGGTTACTAGTATGTTTTTTCCCATATTTAATCTTGAAATATCATAACTTCTCTTCATTAAAACTGAATTACTTTGTTTCTGTTCATCATATTCTCTTGATAATATATCTATATCATGATTTACAACAATTTTACCAATATGTAGTCTTTGATAAATATATTCGATTGCATCTTTAAATTCTTCATTTGAATATTCAATGATTAGAATTAGCTCTAATTTATTGGAATTAAACATTTTGACTATTTTTTTTAATAAACTTTTAAATAATGGTCCTGGAAAATCAACAAGTTCTACATTAAAATATCCATAGTTGTATTTAAAGTGATTGTTTGTCATATAGTCGTTTGGTGTTAAATGCGTGATTGAAAGATCTACAATTCTACCACAAGTATTTAAGCATTGGAAATTTGAATCCATATATTCTGATGATAGTGTGTTTAATATTAAATCTACACCTTGATGATCTTTGTCACATTCTAATTGTTTTAATTTGTTTTTAATTTGGTGAACATAGTTTTTATCTCTTGATGAATAGATACCAGTAATAAATGAGCCGTATTTATTCATTAAGTATTCGTCTTTATCCTTTGAACCTACTGTTAAAAATATAAAGCCTTTGTGTTGTTTACACTTTAATAGTTCTAATGATGATAGACCGATACCACCTGCTGCAGAATGAATTAAAATAGTTTGGTCTGCTTGTAAATTACCAATATGGAATATACTATGTAGTACTGTTGTATAAACCGATGGAATAGATGCTGCTTGTATATGTGAGATATTTAATGGTTTGAAATAAACATATCTAGAATCGATTATTATATGCGATCCACTAGTTTTTGAAGCAGCCCCAAATACTTCATCACCAATTTTAAATTTCTTTACATTGCTACCACAACGAGTAATAATACCGCTAAAATCATTCCCGATATTTGGCATTTGACTTAATCCGTTTTCAACTTCTTCTTCTTTGCCATATTTGAGATCAACACTATTTGATATTTGACCAATATATATAAGATAGTCTTTAAAGTTGATACCTGTACCTTTTATATGAACTTCTATTTCATTTGGTTCTAATTCTTGTTTTTTAGTTTTTAATACATATTCTAAATTTGGATCAAGTTGAATCATTAAATTATCTTTATTTGTTTCGAATGAGTTTGATGTAAAAAATTGTTTAATTTTTGATTGTTTTTTGTATCTTTCATAATATACTCTGTTGTTTTTAATTGTGAATTCTCTTTGAGTATTTGTTGTTGGATTGATTAATATATCAATAAGTGATAGTATATTTTCATTTTGAATTGATATATTGTCAAAATCTAATGAATATAAATCTAATTGTGGGAATTCTGCGAAATATCTTGCTGATCCATTAATTGATGATGATAAGTAGTTGCTTGATGTTGAATTTAATAGAATTAAAACGTGTTTAAAAAAGTTTTCAATTTCTTGTTGAAGTAACATTTGATTAATTTGAATATATTCGAATGTTATTTCTTTAAAGTTATTGATATCTAATGGATCAATTGCTTTCATAAAGATGATTAGTGTTTTACTTTGTCTAATGGAGTCGAGTGATTTAATAGCCCAGTTGTTAAGTTCATTAAAGTTATCGAATTGAATTATTTTTGAACTTAAAAGTTGATTTGATTTGAATGATTCGTGGATTTGAATACCATCTTTACTATTTCCAAACAATACAATATTATCGGGTGATGTTAATTGCTTCATTGATTTTATATTTGATAATACCATTTCATTTATATTTGATTTTCTTGTTTGAATTAAAAAGAATGAATTATCATCTCCAGATATTGTTGTATCTTTATAGTTGCATCCATTTAGTACATTGTACCAACTTTCATGTTTCATACAGCTTCTATCTTTTCTAATGTCAATATCTTCTGGTGATGGCCACCATTGAGAGAAAACACTGAATACAGAGTCAACATATAGTGATTTGTATGGTGCTTCGATAAAAAAAATTTGACCATTTGGTGTTAAAATATTGTGGATTTCATTTAAACTGAATCTAAGTTGTTTTACTGCATGCAATACATTTGACATTACAACCATATCGTAATAAGAGGCTTTTAAATCTTGATCTTTTAGTGGTTTGTCTAAATCAAGAGGACGATATATTATATTTACCCCTTTGATATTGGAAAGTTTTTCTTTAATGTCTGAAAAAAATGATACTGAAATATCGCTCCATGTGTATTCAATATCTATATTTGATGATGGATGGTTATTTAATATTTTGTTGATTTTATCAAATATTAAAATTGATAATGAACCCATACCACCCCCAAATTCCAGGATTCTGAATACTATAGGTTCGTTAATAATGGGTTTTATTGATTCTGAAACAATTTCACTTAATAACTCGTTAAATGGTCTAATAACATTTGAGTTTTGATAAAAATGATCTAATAATCCATCTTCGAATAATGAGTGAGGAGAGTCAATGTTTGGATCGTCTTCTTCTAATGGGAAAATTTGTTTTATCATAACTCTGGTTGTTTTTTCTAAAAGCTTAATAATTTTATCATAATTGCTATCAGGGAATTCATTTAATTGTTTATTGATGCCTAAACTATTATATTTTTTTAAATTTTCGAAAATAAAGAAAAACAAATTTTCATTTACCTTTTCATTATAGTAGAGTTTTTTGAATTGGTTATAATCCATTGTTGTTAATATTTCGTTGTTAATAGTTGGATATCTTAAATTGATATTATAATAATATAATGATAATAAGTGTTCATTAGATATTATTTTTTGATAAAATTTGTCAACCCACAATTCTTCCGATTGAAACAAGTATTTAAATGATTGCGGCTTGTTAATGGTAGAGTCTTTTGGTTGTTGAATTGGTAGATAGATTTCGTTGGATGGTGGTGGGATAATAAGGGTATTGTCAATAATTGGTGTAAGTGATGTACAAACAATATTTGTAATTTCAATTAATAATGTACCGTCATTTAACATTATTTTAATGGATCCAGAGTATGAGAATAAATTTATTCTTGATTTAATTTCGGAATATACATATATTTCAGAATGTTGTTGTTGATTTGGTGATGGTATGTTTGATGAATAATATTTTAATCCTTCGACTTTATCTAATACGATTTCGCAGTGATGGTTGATAAAACTTAACATTCCATGTAAACATGTATCTAGAATTGCAGTATTAAAGAATGATTTCATTGTATCGTTGTTGAGTAAGTGGTTGAATTCATTTTGATTTTGAATTTCATTTAATGATACAATAGAAAGCGAACAGTTATCACCAATATAGCATTCTTTGACACCTTAGAATAAACCTTTGTATGTTAAACCGGTTTTTTTTTAATTGTATCATAAAGATCTGTTTTGGATAGTTTGGTAAAGTTGCAATTATTTCTTATTTCTTCTATATTAATTCGGGTTATTTCGTTACTATGTCTGAATAGACTAAAGTTACCTGTGGAACACAATACCCATTTATTAGTGTATATATCTTTAAAGTGTGATTTGACACTAAATTCATTTTTTGAAAGTTTAAAAATGGTTGTTTGTAGACATTGACTAACATTGTCTTGTAAAACCAATGGTGTTTTAAATTCTATTGAACTGATTGTAATATCTTTATTTGGATAAATGTTGAATAAATTAATGATATATCCACAACCTGGGAAGTAGTATTTCCCTTTTACTTGATGTCCTTTTAGCCATTGAAATGGTTGTTTTTTAGTATTAATAAATGTTTGATACGATATAAATGGTGATTCTTTTATATTACCAAGATGTTGAATTGGAGGTCCTTCTTTTTTAATCTTTTCATATGTTGAGTTATTTTTGAAATACATTTTATCATCCCATTGATATAATGGTAAATTATTTACTGAAATGTTGCCGATACTACTGTCGTTGTGATTTATTTGTGATTTAAAATTGATATTAAATGAGTGGTTTACAAAAAGTGTTGAGATTGTTTTTAAGAATTCATCATAATCATTTTTCTTTTTGTTAAGTGGTGAGTGAATAGTTATTTTTTCTCTATTGTTGAAATATGGTGGAAGATTTGATTTCATTTGATTTAAATAGAATGATAGTGTTGGGTGGGGTGCAACTTCGATAAAAGTTACTTCATTACCATAGTTGTTTTCTTCAATGTATTTATAAATGTTTGAAATGGTTTGAGTGAATCTTACTGGTTGTAAAACATTTTCAAAAACATATTCTGGATTGAATGGTGTTGTTTCGTAGTTAAATAAGTTTGTAGTGACAGTTGAAAAAACAGGTGTTGTTGATTGTTTTGATTTAATTTTCATTGAACATATTTCATCTTTAATACCTAACTGGCTGGAAGAATGGAGTGATGATAGTGTTCCTAGCATTGCACAAAATATATCTTTTGATTTTAAATCAGTTATAATTTCATTTAGCAAATGTTCTTTACCTGATAATACAATTGATGATGGTGAGTTGTAGCAAGCAATGTTTATTTCTGGGTATTTTGATGAATAATTTGATATATATTCTTCAGGACTTATATTTACAGATAACATTCTACCAGAACCAGTGGTTTTATTTTGAGCTACTGATCTATGGTATACTAAATAGCATAATGTTTCAAAGTCGATCATACCAGAGCAATATGATGCTGATATCTCACCAAGAGAATGGCCAACGATTAAATCTGCTTTAATACCCCATTGTTTATATAGCTCGAATAATGAGACATGAATCATAATGTTTGATGGCTGCGCAATAGTGTGATCATGTACTGATATCATATCTTTATCGTCAATTGATCTAAGTTTTTCTACAACAGAGTACCCATAGTATTTGAAAAGTTCTCTATCGAATTTATCTACCCATTGTTTGAATATTGCTTCATTTTCGTATATTTCTAATGCCATTCGATTATATTGCGATCCTTGACCACAAATAACAAAAACTGTAAATGGATGCCTTTTTTCAATTGTAATATTTGAAAGAGTATTTTCATTGGATGTTTTTACATAGTTTTGCTTATCATTAAATTCATTCCAATCACTTGCAATAATAACCAATTTTTGGACAAGTGATGTTGATTTATATTTAATTTGATTATTTACAAAATTATTGAAATCTAATGTTTCTGATTGATTCATTATTATTTGTTTGTATCTATCAAGTGATGTTGATGAGTTGGTTGAAAACGGTATTAGATATTTTTTCTTTTTAATTATTTCATTATGAGCTTTTTTTATATTATATTCTGATAAAATAATACAGCAATTAGAACCTATAGTAAAATAATTAGTATTTAATATAATTTAATTTAATTAACTATTATACATACCAGTAATACCAAAGTTATTGATTGCCATAACCGTTTTTTTATTGTTTTTAAATAATGTTTGCTCGGTTACAACTTTTAGACGCCACTCTTCGAATAAGATATTGGGATTTGGTGTTTTAAAATTGATGTTTTGGACAAATGATTGGTTTTTAAACATGACACAACATTTGATTAATGACATTACACCGGATGATGCTTCACTATGACCAATGTTCGATTTTATTGAACCAATTAAAACTTGTTTCTTTGTATCTTTGAACACTCTTGAAATAGCTTCAAGCTCTATTGGATCCCCAGTTGGTGTACCAGTACCGTGACATTCAACATAATCAACATCTGATGCATTAATTTGGCCATTAGTGGATTCGATTGCAGATTTAATATTTTCATATTGTGATGATTTTGATGGTGAATAAAAGTTTGACTTATCATGGTTTCCATCAACATTTGAAGCTGATCCTTTGATAACACAGTAAATGTTATTACCATCCATGATTGCCTTTTCTAAATTCTTTAATACTACAACTCCGACACATTCCGAACGAACATATCCATCAGCATCCGATGAGAATGTGTGACACTTTCCAGTTGGACTTAACATTGATAAATGAGAAAATGATTTTGATGTATTTGGGTCTAATAATAAAAAAATAAATAAAATTAAAAGTTTAATGAAATTTTCTTTGGAAAAAATTATTTTAAAAGTTCCATATACATACCTAGTATTAGATTAACACCACCCACAATAGATACATCAGATTGACCATATTTGATGGATTTGTAACCAAGATTTATTGCATTCAATGATGAACTACATGCAGTGTCGATTGTCAAAGAGTCACCACGAAAATCAAAGCAGTATGATATTCTATTTGAGATTGAATGAAGTGACCCCCCAAAAATGTTAATTTGGGTTTCAAAAGGAGATTTATTGGCAGCATCGTAGTCAACAGTTGATGAACCTATATATGTACTGGTGTTAGTGCCTCTTAATGTGGATGGATCTATACCGCTATCTTCCAAAGCTTCCCATGTACACTTTAACAGTAATCTTTGTTGAGGATCAATTGAATTGACATGTTCATCACTTGGATTGATACCAAAGAATATTGGGTCAAAAGACTTCCATTCACCGAGTGGAATAAGACCAGCATGTTTGCAAACAATATCACCAGTGATACTATAGTTATCAGACCATCTTTCAGATGTTTCTACGATACCATCGAAACCATTTACCAAGTTTTCCCAAAGTTGATTTGTATTTGAAATCGATTTTGTTAAACTACCACTTGGAGCTCTAAACCCAACTCCTATAACTGCAACATCACTATTTTGAACATATTTTGATGACATTTTTAATAGATAAATAATTTTTTTAATGTTTTAATTAAAATAATTTTGATTAAAATTATTTTAAATAACAAAAAAAAAAAAGAAATCTTGAATAAAAAAAAAATTATTTTAATTATTAAAACAGTTTTAAACTGTTCTTCTTTTATTATATAAAAGATTAGCCTTTTGTAAATTAGTGTGTTAATAATTGAAGATAAAAACTAATTAAAAAAAAAACCAAAAATATATTAAAAAACTATATCACAGCTATTATTTAATCTTTTCCAATTGAGAATTAGGGGTTGTTGTTAAAAATCACATCTTTTTATTATTAAGGGTGGATATTTTAATCTTCATAAATATATCTATATATATTTCATTAAATTATTAAGATATCAAATTATTATAATACCCACTTAAAACTTGAAATTATAATTGTGGTGGTTATAATAACCAATTCACACCCCAAAAAAAAGTATTTTTAAAAAAAAATATAAATATAAATATTTTAAACTGTTGTGTGTTTATTTATTATTTTCAATCGAAAATTTTTTTTGTAAGAAATAAATTTCATAAACACACCAAAATACCTCATTTATAAGTTTTTTATTTGATGATTTTTGAATTTTGAATTCTTCTATAATTAATTTAAAAAAAAAAAATTTCAAAAAAAAAAAACTAAAAAAAAAAAAAAAAATTTTTTTTTTTTTTTTTTCTCATATTATTTTTTGATGATAGTTTCACAATTTTGTTGTTTTTTTAATTTTTTTTTGCATATTAAAATTTTTTTTTAAATAATTTTAATATAGTTATTCATTATAACATCGATGTTATTATTTCTAATCCCTAAATAACAATTAACAAAAAATACCACTTTACACATATCTTTTTAAAACATTATCTAAGGAATTTCCTGTTTAAATTTATATTTTAAAATATTGCTTGTCGAAAATCTTTTAATTCAATAATATAAAATCAATAATAAAACAATACTTAAGGGTTGTCATAAAAAAAATAAAAAAAATAAGTGTAATTAAACCTTCAAAGAAAAAAAATTTTATAATTAATTTTTAAAGATAATAAAATGATATCAATACCATTATTTTATTTATTTTTTATGCTATTAGCCACTCTTTGTAAAGAGTGTTTCCATTTCTACCACGGGGAGGTTAATATATTAGAGCCAAATGGTTAATTATTTATACCTTCAGGCAGTATAAATAATTAATCACCACATTGAAAGTTTGTGGTTAATTATGAAAACCACCACGCAGTATACATAATTAACCACCACATTGAAGATTAGGTATATTTCAAAAACATAGATACCAAGCGGGCCAGCTGAGGATCTATGTAATCAAAATACCTATTGAGAGTTGATTAAATGATAAATAATACTTGATAATTTTGAATGATATATAAAATTTGATATTTTTGAATGATAAAAAATATTTGATAAATAATATTTGATTTAAATGAAAAAATTTATTTCATTTATACTTATTTTATTATAATTAATTTTATAAAGTATAGAGAAAAGGAATAAAGTAAGAATTTTGTAGTTCATTATATGACAATGAAATTGGTATATGATAGCTGAATGAAAATACGCATGAATTTTAATCATACATTAAAAATAAATAAAAATAAAATTATTATTATTTACAACACTAATTAATCACACTTTTATTTGTAGTTAAAAAAGGTGATAACTATTAAAAAATATAATAATAATTTTAAAAGATAAATAAAATATATTTTTTTTTAAATAAATAAATATTTTTATATGAATTTTATTTTATAAATTAATTAAAAGCAAGCTTTGATCTAGAGTTAGAAATTTGAATGGTATTTGTACGGGGAGTAAATGCGCCACTAAAGCTTAAAGTTGAACTTGAGGTTGAAACAGGTATAAAAGCTGATTGTTGATGTTGTTGATATTGAAGAGCATATGAATTTGTTAATAAATGTTCCAATTCTTCAGTTAGTTGATAGGTAGATATCTTTTTATCCCAGCTGCCTACCCAAAGTTGTGGTTTATTTTGTTGTGATACAGAGAGGGTTACAGATGAGATTGCATCGATGTGCTTTTTCTTTATAACTTGAACGCATCTAAAGCTTTGTTTAGAATCCCAAACAAGAATTGTACTATCATAGCATGCACCTATTATATAATTTTCAACAACCAATATCGATAATACTCTTGATGTTAAACCTTCAATTTTCTTTTTGATAATACCACTTTCGTCAAAGATACAGATAACTCTTTCGCTGCATGTAATAATCAAACGATCCATCTTTTTAATTGAGTGAATAGATCCACCATTATGACTAATATGATGGGCAACTGGTGTAAGATTTGGATAATCTAAAATAAATACCATACCATTATCTGTACCTAACCAAACTCTTGGAGCTTGTCCAACACCACTGTTACCAAAGCCTACATTATTATTATTATTGTTGTTGTTATTATTGTAATTGATGAATATTGTGGTAATTTGTGAATCCATGGTTTTAACATTTAATAGTTTCTTAGTTTTTAGTCCCTATATTAAAAAAAAAAAAATAGAAAATATTAATAATTTATAAAAATTATTTTCTACAAAAAAAAAGTCTATAATTATAAAATTACTTACAGATTTACTAACCGATTTTATATATGAGGTTTTTTCTTTACAATTTGTCCAAACCGAGGTACCTTCATCAATACATGTTGTAATATAATTTGTTTTAATGGTTTTAAGTAGCTTATAGGTTTTTGATTCAAAGACCAATATACCTTCGCCATAGATTGCCCAAATTTGAGTATCATCATCTACAAAATTAAATGGTGTTGATGGACATGATGGTGTAGGTAATGAGGACTTGCCTTTCTTTCTAACAGAACAGAAACTAAGAATACGAGATGCATCAGCGAAACGACTACTTGATACAGTTTGTCTTGTGTTTGGGTTAATTACGCATACACTACCATCACCCATACCGCACCAAACAAATGATTCATTTTTACTATTGATAACAGAGTATAATGAATGAATTGTTGATGGGAATGTAAGAGCTAAAGAGCTTTGATATCTTAATATTCTGCTTGAGCCCGATGATGTTAATGAACCACCACTTTCATATACACCTGATGAACCACTATTGGTATCACTATTGCTCGATGTTGCAGTAGTTGTACCAATTCCATTGCCACCATGATTACTTGATCCACTGTGACCATTTTGTTGCTGTAAGGATGTTGGAGTTAAAAGTACTTTAAAGTCTGCATTGCTTCCATTTGAATTAAGATTATTGTTCATTGCTATTTGTTGAAGATTTTGGATTGAACTTGGTAAAGGTGGTACATTAACTACAACTGGCTCATCAATAAGTGGAGGCAATTGTTTATAAAATTCTAATTTCTCTTCGAGTGGGAAGGTCTTAAACATTTGGTTCAAACGATCAAGGATGGCGGTGAATGATGGTCTTTTCTTTGGGTCACCATTCCAGCAATCTGTAATAAGATTTTTCATTTCGGATGGGCATTCATCTGGGATAGTTGGACGAAGACCTTTGATGATTTTATCTTCAATAATTGAATTCCATTTTAATTGATCAACATATTCTTCAAAAGGTAAATCTCTTGTTATAATTTCCCAAAGTACAATTGCAAAAGAATAAACGTCAATCTTCTCGGTGTATTGTTGATCATTCATAATTTCTGGTGCTAACCATCTCCAGTTCCAAACCTTTCTTCCTTTTACTTCTTTACCTATAGGTTTAATGGACAAACCAAAATCACTAACTTTGGCAACAAGGGTTTCAATTGATGAACCACCCAATAAAATATTTGCACTCTTTAAATCTCTGTGTACAATCATTGGTTTGCATGAGTGAAGGAAACTCATACCTTTGGCAATATCCATTGATAACTTGAATACAGTGTTCCATGAGAATGGCTCTGCGGTATTTCTAATGAATTTGGCCAAATCACCTTGTTGTAATAACTCGGTAATAAGACAAAATGGATTTACGGAAACACCCATTAGCGACACAGTGTTGGTATGACGGAGTTCACCAGTAATATGTGCTTCATTTCTAAATTCTCTAAATCTTTCGGTGGTGTTTGCACTTTGTCCATCATCTAGATTTAATAGTTTAATTGCGACTTCTGAATTATTCCAAATACCACGGTATACTGTAGCATAAGAACCACTACCAAGTTGTGGCCCAAACTTGAGATCTTCATAAGGGATTAAAGAGAACTTTTGAGAATTGATAGCCACTTCAAAAGCGAGGGCATTAATGTCGACTTTAGTAGTTCTTGGAGAAAGAGTTTCGTGTATGGCACCACCTAATTGGGCTTTGCAAATTACTTGTGTTTGACCAAGTGATGATTGTTTTTCCAAATAATCCAAAGAGTAAAGAGTTGGATTTTCAATGTGAAGAGTAGTACAATGGGTACATGCAACTTGAACTGTATTTAAACGACCTGGGAAATACCAAAGAATAAATGAAGATACCAAATCAACAATGGATTTTAAGAGTTGAGATTTATGATCGTCACGAATTGAAATTTTTAAACTGAAATCGCTTGGTTCGTACTCTATGAGACATTGAGAATCATAAGATTTTGAAGCTCCACCCCATAGTTGACCTTGTGGCTGAATTAAAATACCAGTTTTCCAAATGCACAATGGATCGTAATGTTGAAGAATACGTACTGATAAACGGCTAAAGAAACCGTGTGGTAAAAATTTAAAGTCATAGACCCTTTTATATTCGTTTGTAGCATGAGCAGTTGGTGACCAAAGATCTCTCATTACAGTTGGACGATCGGCACCAAATAATTGAGGTATAATAACAGAACCATCTTCACTATTTAAATAAATTAGCTCTAATTTCTCTAAAAGAGTTAAAAGTGATTTGATGATGTATGTTGAAAATATATTTTCCCATGATGTTGATACTTGATCAAATACAGTCATACCATTTTGAGTTTTTAATGAAAGAATAGCGGTAATTAATTTTGAAACCCAAATGCAATCTAAAAATACCAAGTCATTTAAAATTTCATCATTTGCTTCGTACTTGTAAAAGAGAATTTCACCAATTTCATGAAGATACTTGATTGCAGCTTCGCTGTCCCTTGGCTCAATACCTAATATACGAGAGATATTCTTTATAAATGGAACTGAAGAAATTGGCATTTTACCCTTGGCAATAGCTTCTTTAGCTGATTCTTGGCATTGGCTCTTTAGGATAGAGTATGATAATGGAATCTTGTACTGGAATTGTTTACCTTCAGCACTCTTTTGAAGTTTGTTTGCTAGCAATTTAATTTGTTTAGAATTCTTAAGACTAACATTCATGTACGAGCCAATATTATTAAATCTAAATAATTTTTGGTGATCAGCTTTAAAGTTTGCAAATTTCCTTTCATCAATAGATTGATTGCAAAGACCAACCAAAAATACTACAGAACCAGGTGCTTTGCTTTGAATGATTTCCAACCAGTAATTTACAAGGATGGTGTTTATATTTACAGCATTATATGTTATAATGAACATTGATTGTGGAGAAATGAATAGTGGATGAATTGATTGATGTTGTTCGTTACCACTAAGATAAAAGGTTTTGAATGTAACTTGATCAGAATCTTGACCTACTATTAACTCGCTATTATGAACAAAGGAATTATCTAATGAGATATCTGGAATAGAGCTTGAATGGTTACTAAAGAAAGCCGGTATTCCACGTGAACTTGAGAAGGACAATAGACCATTTGGAGAATAGTTCTTTCTTAAACTATTATAGAATTGAAGCTTTTCTGGAGTCTCCTCACCAACAATACAAAGTTTAACTTGATTATTTAAACAGTAATCATTTTTTGATGTACAAGCAAATGTATTGTCTTGTGCAATTGTGGTTGATAAAAATGGACGATTTGGATTTGCACTGGAATTAAGTGCTGAAGGGTTTGAAAGTACATCGTTTAAAGAAAGATTACTTATTGAATTTATATTTACATTTAAAGAGGTATTGATAAATGGAGATTGACGATCGAAAGTATTGTTCGTTCCGGCCCATGTAACTTTAACTCTAGCTATAATTTTATTAGATGACTCTTCAGCTAATAAGCTCATTGATGATACACCATTATAATTCGAATGGTATTGGCTACTATGATAAACTGTTGATTGAGAGAGGGAGGATGAAAGTGGAATTGGTTTTCTCTTTTGCGCTAAATTTTCAACTAAGGATATAAAGCATCTATCAACTAGGATTAATTCATCGCCATGGTTGAAACAATAGTCTTGAAGTTTTGAGGATCCTGGTAAAAACATTGGTAAAAAGTTTGTGTTGCTAATAAGAGCCAAGCTATAGTTAACTTGATCGATTTGACCGGATTTTCTAAAGTCTGAATTTAACATTGCGCCACTGTTGGTTCTTGAGCTATTACTACTTGTATTTCCACTATTGAAACTACCAGTTGAACTTCTGAGATCACCCATAATTGGTGGTGTATTACTACCACTACCACTAAGATTGTCGATACTATTGGAGGTACTGAGAGGTGGTTCTTTTTCTAAACTAAAACAAATATTATAAAATGCACTGGAAACTGAATCGATTGTACTATCGAAATCCAATAGAATTGATTGGGTACGTCCCTTAATTGATATACTAAATTCATAGGACAAACGTGGACTACATTCAATAACATCCATAGTTGAAATCTTATTTAAAGCGAATGGATTATTATTTGGCATTTTAATTGATGATAATGAAGATGATTCGTCATCAATATCACGCAAATAAAAACCGAGATGGGCTGTATCTAATTGTGGTAAAAGTTTTGAAAGTTTTTCATCCAAAATTGATTGAGGGGTACTTTGTAAATTTACATAAACTATAATTGGTGTTACTTTTGAATTGCCATTACTTGTATTGATATTACCATTACTTTGTATATTTGGGAAAATAAATTTAAGAAATATATTGAATGTTGATAAACGTTTTTTAGATGGTCTAAATACCAATGTATCATTTGGGGAAATATCAAACATCCACAATGGTAATTCTGGTTCACAAATAACCTCTTGGTTATTTTCATCATTTAAAACTAAAGAATTCTCTTCACTATAACGAACAACCATTTCATACTCTTCTTTATTTAAGGAAAGGTCAGAGAACTCTGTATCGGTATGAATTCTACTTGCCAAAGCCTGAACCGTTATATTTAATGGTAATGTAATGATACGGTAAACAGTGTATTGATCGGTAACAATTGTTAAATTGATAACTTGAGTTTTAGAATTCTTTCTATCCAATACCCAGCTTCTCTTCTTTGGAGATTTACCATTATATGTTGATCTTAATTCTTCGGATGACCATTTCTTTGATAGGGATTGCAAGACTCTTGTGGCTTGAACTTCACCTGGGTTAGCAACCTGTGTTGGAGTTTGATAATATGGATTAATTAAATTTTGAAGTGTTGGAACTGGGCTATTTGTACGAGATGTGTTTCCTCTTAAAGTAGAGAAGTGATTTGAACGTGGACCCATACTAGGACTAGAGATACCAAAATTAGAAAATGAGTTTTTATAATTATTAAGAAGATCTTTGAATACACCAAAAAGGAATATTTGACGCTCGGCTCTTTGTAGTGATGTATTTAAATCCTTTGCACGTTTAAATGATTCTTCTAATTCAGATGCCTCTGACTTGATTTGTAAAATAAAACTATTAACTGCTTCATCTTTTGATTGTTGTAAACTTAACATTTGAGAAGAGATCAAATGGGTTTGTTGAGCTTGTTGAGGAGATGCGCCACCAGATAGTGAATGAGATCTAAATACCAATGACTTTATAAAGTGCATCACTTGCTCCTGTGTAGTGACGCCCCTACGTGAGAAATCTCTATCAAAAGCTATATCGAAAACCACTTTAGAGATTTCAATGTAAACCTTTGAAAAAAATGTTGAGTTATTTGGGGGTGGTTTCAAATTTGCTAATATTGGACAAATTAATTTGGTAAAAAATATTTTCTTTACCAATTCTAATGAGTATTCTGATGAATGAAGTTGGTGTGACTCTATATACAATAATTCAAATAACTGAAACACATTTGGTGGTATTTTCTCTACAGATCTAAAAATTGTATTTATAATTGAAATTGAATATTTTGAAATATGATCCTTCATACCCTCTAATGTTATTTGTGTGGATGATGTTGGTGATGAGATTGGTGGGGTTGATGAAAATGATGGTGATTGTAGTGGTGTTAAATTGTTATTTGATTGAGATGTTTGTGTTGAAATTTGGTGATGCATTCCTATAATGGGTGGGGTACCTAATGTATTTCCTATACTATTTGCCGAGGCTCTATTTGTTGGAGAATTGCTAATGTTATTTGAAATATCCAACGACTCTAAATTATTTGAACTATTACGAACACCACTAGAATTAATTGATAATGGTGATGATGCTAATAAAGCGCTAGGATTTGTCGGTGTTGAATTAGTGCTGCCACCGCCACTATTATGTGTTTTTAAAAATTCTTGTATATCATCGGTGAAATTTGAAATTTGAGTGCTTAAAACCTTTTCCATAATAGGAGCCAAATAAATTTTTAAAAATGATGATGACATTTTATTTATAATGCTATAGTAATAAATATTTAATAGTATTAGTTTTTTATTCTTTTTTTATTTTTTTTTTTCGATTTATTTTCTTTATTATAACCTACTTGTTAAATGATTGGTAATTAGTTGGACTACTTTCATCAGAAACCAATGAAAGTTTAGCATTTTCTACAGTTTGTTTAATAAATAATCTTAAGAGCTCAATAAAGTTATCATCCATAATTGTAATGAGTGAGTTTAAGAGTTCTGATGATTTTGGTGTTGAGGAGCATCGACTAAAATGATCTAAAAGTGACACAAAAAAATCTATATCTTGTAATAATAATATATTTTTAAATAATAATACCCTTGCGTTGGATATTGGGCTTTCGTTGAATGCCACTGGTGCTGGTGCCCTCCCATTGTTATTAATAGTGGCACTACTAGGTCTTGGTGTGGCTATCATACCATTACTTGATGTGAGTGATATTGATCCATCCATTTCTTTAATAATCTATTTAATATAGTTTATTATTTATGATTTTATTACATATATTGTTGATTGTTAATGTTATTACTATTTTTTTATATTGTGATTATAATTATAATGATTATTTTATTGATGTTTGGTGGGAAAGGAAATTTTGGAATAAAATAAAAAAAAAATGATTTTTTTTGATAATATTTAAAAAAATTTTAAAATAATTTTTTTTCTAATTTTTTTTTTAATTTTTTTTTTCGTAAAACTAAGAAGGAGATTTATAAAAAAACGATTTAATTTAAATGTTCTTATTTATCTGAATTAAAAAGAGATATTATTAATATACATATAATGAAATATTATTAAAAGAGGGAAAAAAAAAAAGAAAAGAAAAACACAAAACATAAAAAAAAAAAAAGAAATAACACAATTATGGTTTGATATAAAAAAAATAAATTTGAAAAAAAAAAAAAAAAAAAAAAAAAAAAATTTTTTTGAATTTTTTTTAAAAAAAAAAAAAATGTTTTTTTATTGTTGTTATTATGTGAATGATATGTGTATGGTGGGGTTTTTAACAAATGAGTGGAGTGTGGATTATTTTTTGTGAAACAATAAAATTTTACTTTTTAAATAAATGAAAAAAAAAAGAAAAAAAATAATTTGAAAATATATTTAAATATTTTGTTTATTTAAATTTAAATTCAAAAATTTAATTTTTGTTTGGTAAAAAATTATCTAAAATGAGCGTGATCGAAAAAAAATAAAAACAAAAATAAAAATAATAAAAAAATAAAATGGGTGGTGTGTGTTCAAGTTATGTGTGTGTGTGTATATTTTATTTGATCAATGCTTTTTTACACTTGTTATTTTTAGAAAAGTTTACCCCTTTGTGTATTTATCAATTGAAAAAATTCAATATTCCCTAAGATTTATAAATTGTTGCCAAAAAACTTTTTGAAAAAAATAATAAAAAATAAAAAAAAAATAAAATAAAAAAAAATAAAAAAAATATTTTTTTCAACAATTAAAAATAGTATTTCTAATTTTCTAAGACTATTAAAAAATTTAAGTTTAATTTTTGTGTGTTTAATTTTTTTTTTTTTTTTTCTATTGACATGTTAAAGGTCGGTTAAAAAAAATAGCTTAACAAAAAATCTCCAGATATTTATTTTATTGCTTTGTATTGGATTAAAAATTTTTATTGGAATTAAAAATTTTCAAAAAATTTTATTTTTTTAAAAAAAAAATTTGTAAAAAAAAATATTTACTTGAAAAAAAAAAAAAAAATATGATTATTATTAAAAATTAAAATACTTTTTAATTATAATTTATAAAAAATGAAAGTTTTAATTTTTTTCGTTGTTTTTTTGGTTGCACATATTAGATCACAATATGTAAATGTTTCCTTATCAGGTTCAAGTGTTATAATTCAAACTGGTGTCTGTCAAAACCAAGTAAGCCAATTTCCAACCATCTACGAATGCCAAGGAGCCACTATTTCTGCTGACATATATCAACAATCGATAACAGGAGGCTGTACTGGTGAATCAATAAAAACCATCATCTACGGCAATGGAGGTCTTTACGATGGAGTCTATTATCAATGCCAATCTGATATCAACTATCCAGATGGTGATTTTATTGTCAGTTCAATTTTCGATGAGAAATGTGAAAATGTTACCGCACAAATTATAAATCCATCAGGTGTTTGCTACTATAGCGATTTACTTAATTCTACTTTTATTAGTTATCCACAATACTATGCTGTATCAAAATGCCTCAGTTCAACAGAAGCATTTTTAACAACTTTTAACGAATTAAACTGTCAAGATCCAAATTATACCGAATTACAAACTATTGGACAACAATGTACACCAGACAATCAATTTGTTCAAATATGTTATATAAAATAAAAAAATAAATTTTTTATATTTTATATAAAAAAAAAAATAAATACAATTTTTTAATGTACCCCACAAGATAAATTATTTAAAACCTATAACAATCATTCCATTTTACTAAGGAAATTCCTTATCCAAAATAGAAATCATTTATTTACTATATACCCATCTTTTTCTTTATAAATGAATTTACTAAGATTTACGTGTTTTTTTATTGAACACCATATTTTGAAACCTATATAAAATTGAAAACTTCAGATACTAATTAAAAAAAAAAATAATTAAATTACGATCTATAATTTATAAAATAAGAAATTTATTTTTCATTTAATTTATTGTTTTTTTAAAAAAAAAAAATTTGGAGGTTTCTTATTAAGATCCTTTTGGTGGGTAAACTATGATCGGTCTATCATTGTGGTGGAAAGGCCATATTGAAACACGGTTATTTTGGAATCCATAAGATTGGGAGGGTGAAGCTGCGCTATACTTTTTAAAACCTGTTTGATTTGAGGTTGATACAATTTTGGTGATATTATCTTTTTTAATAATAAATATAAATAATTAATATAAATTTTGATATGTATAAATTATATAAACTCTTACGAAAAATTGCCATTTTTAAATCCAAAGTTATTTAGTAAAAATAATTGAAAATAAAATTTTTTTTTTTTTTTTTCTAAATACTATTATATTTTATTAGTTTTTATAAATGATAAAAAATCTATAACCAATATAGAAAAAGTCAAAAGATCTATTAGAGTTTTTACCATAAACATCTTTTTTATAAAAACTAAATTATACACCCACCTATCACTGTCATATTTTTGTCTATTGAAGAAAAAAAATATAAAAAATTTTCATTGTTTTTTAATTAATTAATTATAATAAAAATAATATTTTAATGATTTGTTTTTTTTAATTAAATGATTAATTATTTAAAAAAAGTTAAAAAAATTTAAAATAAAAAAATTATGATTCTTTTTTTATTTTTTTTTTAAAATTTTATTTTTTTTATTTTTTTTTAATTTTTTTCGATTATTATAATATCTTTTTTTTTTTTATAAAATTATTTTCTTTGTTATTTTTGGTATTAAAACAATAAATACAATTATTTATATATAATTTGTAATTAAAAAAAAAACCCATTTCCCCCAACTATTAATCACCCCGAAAATCAAAAATCAAAAATCAAAAAATATCACTCACATATACATATAAAGATGATGGTTTTTCATTGGTCCTATGAAAATAGTCCACTATTGTTTCCAGGTTGGGTATTCAATAGTCCTGGTGCATATGCATTAACCCTAATGATTTGTTTTGCAATTTCTATGTTTTCAGAATGGTGGTCAACCTATAGACATTCTCTTAATACCAGAGGTAATTATTTTGGTTTTTAATTATATTACTTTGAAGGAAAGGGTACTAATAGTTTATTCACTTTTAATCATATTAGTTAGTGACAACAATACCATATTTATTAAAAGAGATGATCATTTTTCAATTAAAGAACTTTACAATAAATTTTTAGATAGTCATCTTTGGAAAACAATCGTGCATATGGTTGCATTTACAATTAACTATATGGTTATGTTTTTTGTAATGTCCTTTAATGGTGGTATTGCCATTTCTGTTATTTTAGGTATAGGTACAGGTTACTTTTTATTTGCTAAAAAGAGATATGTTGCAGTAGTAGATGATCTCTGTCATTAATAATATAATTAATAGTAGTAATAATAATAATATTTAAATAATATCAAAAATAATAACAATATAATCAATAGATGTTAATTTTATTTATTTCATAAAAGTAACAATCTTAAAAAAAAGAAAAAAAAAAAAAAAAACACCAATTTTTTATATTAAAAATAAGGTGTACAAAATTATAAAAAAAATAAAACTATACAAATATTTATTAAATTAATGTTTTAAAATAATTTTATTAAGTTGAATTATCATCAATTTTATAATTGAAACCAAACTTCTTCCAACTTTCTTTTAATGATGGTGGTAATGGTGCAATAATATCGATTGGTTTATTTGTGAATAGATGAATAAATTGAATTCTTCTTGCGTGTAAATGCAATTTTAATGATGATGATGCACTATCAAGTTTTGATACTTTCGTTTATTAGTTCGTTACCATATTTAGTGTCACCAATAATTGGTGTATTTAATACCGATGCAATGTACCTTTTCCAATAATAAATTTACTTTGTTAACTGCACCTTCTTTTTTTAACTCTTCCTCGCTCTTTCGGGGTATAAAGGAATCTGGTACTGTGGCATATATTTTTTTGTTTTAATTTTATTATTCCCATTATTATTATTTTATAAATTTTTCTTTTTATTATCCGATTTATCTTTTTTATTATATTTATTTTATTTTTATTTTTATTATTTTCTAATTTTCCCAGACAATCCAAAAAAAATATATTTTTTTTTTTTTTTTTTCGGTTTTATAAAAAAAAAATTTTTAAAAAAATATTTTATCGATTTTAAATATTAAAATAATTTATAAAAAAATGAAAGTTTTAATTTTTTTCGTTATTTTTTTGGTTGCACATATTAGATCACAATATGTAAATGTTTCCTTATCAGGTTCAAGTGTTATAATTCAAACTGGTGTCTGTCAAACCAATTTAAACCATTATCCAACCATCTACGAATGCCAAGGAGCCACTATTTCTGCTGACATATATCAACTATCGATAATAGAAGGTTGTATTGGTGAACCAATAGAAACTAATATTTATGGCAATGGAGGTCTTTACGATGGAGTCTATTATCAATGCCAGTCTGATATCAACTATCCAGATGGCGATTATGCTGTGATTTCAGTTTTCGATGAGAAATGTGAAAATGTTACCGCACAAGTTATTAATCCATCGGGTGTCTGCTACTATGGCTTTATAGTTAATTCTACTTATATTAATGAACCAGAATACTATGCCGCTACAAAATGCCTTAGCTCAACAGAAGCATTTTTTACAAAGTTTAACGATTTAAAATGTCAAGATCCAATTTATACCGAATTACAAACTATTGGACAACCATGTACACATGATAATCCATATGTTCAATTATGCTATATAAAATAAAATAAATAAAAAATACAAAAAAACAAATGCAATTTTGTTAGGTATAACAATCATTCTATTATACTTAGGAAGTTCTTTATCCAAATAGAAATCATTACTTTATTATACACCATCTTTTTCTTTATAAATGATTTTTTGAACACCATATTTTGAAAACTATCTAAAAAATAATAAAATCAATATTTCTGAAGAAATATAAAAAAAACTTTATAATATAAAAAATATATTTTTTTTATATTGGCCAAAATTTGAACAATAATTAATTTTGGTCTATAATTTATAAAATAAAAAATTCATATTTCATAAAAGAAAAAATTTATTGTTTTTTAAAAAAAATAAAACTATACAAATATTTATTAAATTAATGTTTTAAAATAACTTTATTAAGTTGAATTATCATCAATTTTATAATTGAAACCAAACTTCTTCCAACTTTCTTTTAATGATGGTGGTAATGGTGCAATAATATCGATTGGTTTATTTGTGAATGGATGAATAAATTGAATTCTTCTTGCATGTAAATGCAATTTTAATGATGATGATGCACTATTAAGAAAAGTTTTAATACTTTCGTTTACTAGCTTGTTACCATATTTAGTGTCACCAATAATTGGTGCATTTAATACTGATGCACAATGTACCCTTAATTGATGGGTACGACCAGTTTCTGGCCACAAAGCTACAAATGATTGATTGTCTAATGAGCTTTGAATTACTTTATATTCTGTAATTGCTAATTTAGCACCGTCACCGATCTTCAAAGCTGGTATGACTTTCTCCTCACCTCCAATCATAACTTTTTTTAATGGTGCCCTGATTCTACCCTCTCTTGGTTTGGGTGCACCTGCAATCAATGCCCAATAAGTCTTTTTAATTCCTTTATTTTCTAAATCTTCATCATCGTCAATTTCTTCATCCTTGGTATCTTTTTTCTTTTTTGATGAATTCTTTTTGTTTTCTCTTTCGTTATCTTTATTAAACTTTTCTTTTTCTTTCTTTTTGCTACTCACTAATTTTAATTCAAACTTTTCTGCCATTGCTGTTGCTGCTAACCTTGATCTACCTAAAATTAAAATACCACTGGTTGCTTTATCGAGACGATGAACTAGTTTTGGATTTTCAGATTTTTCAAATCTTAGATGGTTTAACATCATATCTAAATGCTTCTTTAAACCTGAGCCACCTTGAACCGAAAGACCCTGTGGCTTATTTAAAACCAATAAATGCTCATCTTTATATAATACACTTTCTTTAATTTCTTTGATTTCATCATCGCTTAATCTTGTATATTTGGTTGGTTCGTTAATATCGGCCATGTGTTGATCTAATAAGGCCTGCGATGGGAAATAGATCCAACTACCAACCTCGACTTTATCATTAAACTTCATTTTGTGTCTTTTTAATTCACTAGTTGAATTTTGTTTGAACTCTTCATTTTCTTTATATATAATTTTATTTCTTAACCATTTGCAAACTAGTGAATGTGGTAAAATTGGTAACTTGTGACTGATCCATCTATCAACACGCATACCTTCCATATCCCTGGTTACATAGTATTTTACTCTTTTGTGTTCTGATGGTACTGCTTCATCCTTTTCCAATAATAAATTTACTTTGTTAACTGCATCTTCTTTTTTTAACTCCTCCTCGCTCTTTCGGGATATAAAGGAATCTGGTACTGTTAATGGTGGTGGCATATATTTTCTTGTTGTAATTTTATTATTTACATTATTATTTAATAAATTTTTCTTTTTATTATCTGATTTATCTTTTTTATTATATTTATTTTTATTTTTATTTTTATTGTCATTTTCTTCGTTTGTTAATTTTTCAATTCTTTCTAATTCCATATTAATTTTACGATGTTTTTTTAATGTGTGTTCTTTTTTTTGTGGTTTTTCATTTTGATTCTTTTTTGAACCTTTAACTCTATCATTTGAATTTTGTTTTTTCATTGACATTTTCTGTAACTTTTTTTTAGATTCTCTTTTTGTAAAAAATTCATTTGCTAAATTTAATGGTGAAACAATTGTACTATTATTATTAAATAATCTATTTATTGAAAATAATGAATAATTATTATTCCTATTATAAATTAAACCATTATTATATAATGATTTTTTTAAAAAATTCATGATTGTGGTTTATTTATTATTTTTTATAAATAAAGAAAAAAAAAATAAAAAACTAAAATATGAATAATATTAATATTTATATTTATATTAAATTAAAAAAATGAAAAATATTTATTTTTTATTTTTTATTTTTTTTTTTCGTTTTTTCGTTTTTTATGGAAATGATTAATTTATTTTTATTTTTTTTTATATATGGAAAGAAATAACTAAATAAATTAAATAAATTAAATATAAAAACTTAAATAAAATTGATCATTTAACTTTTTCGATATTTAATTTTATATATTTAATTATAATTAATTTATTTTTCGCAAATTATAATTTGATTAATTTTTTTTTTTTATTTTTTTTTTTTGTGTGTTTGTAACGAAGAAAAAAAAATTAAAAAATTAAAAAAAAAAAAAATTAAAATTTTTTTAAAAAAAAAAAAAAATTTTGGGAGCGTGTGCGTGATGGAAAAATTTTTTCAATAGAATCAGTCTCTTTTTTTTTTTTCTCTTTTTGCTTTGATTGTTCGTATACCTTGAGAAAATGCCACACATCCCAACTCAAAACAAATTAACCATCTACAGATACTTATTCCAAGGTAAGATTATAACATAATCACCATTTATCTTTATAGATTGACACATATTAGAAGGATTGATAAAAGATTGACGATTAATCTTGGTTGAAAAAACAAATATAAAAGAAAAGAGATAATCACACGTGGAAAATCATTAATCTTTCAATAAACACCAAATCTCACTATATTATACATTATAATGCGAATATAAACTAATATATATAATACAAACCTATATTATTGGAATAATTGCAGAAGGTGTCTTAGTTGCCCCAAAAGACTTCAAACTTGCTAAACACCCACAAATCGAAAGTGTTTCAAATCTTGATGTTTTATCCACTTTAAGATCATTCAAATCAAAGAAATTTGTTACTGAATCTTTCAACTGGCAATATTACTACTGGGTCCTCACTGATGAAGGTATTAAATACTTAAGCCAATACCTCCAACTCCCAGAATCAGTTGTCCCAGCTACCCTCAAAAAACAAAACAGCAGCCGTCCATCATCATATTCAAGACAAGAAGAAAAGAGAACCGGTGCTTCAGGTGACTTCGAACCATCATACCGTGGTGGTGATCGTCGTCGTGGTGGTTTAGGTCGTGGTGGTTACAGACGTGAAGGTCAAACCAACACTACCAACTAAATTGTTTTAGGGAAAATAAATTATATAAAAATTTAAAAAAAAAAACCAAATATAAAAAGAAATGCAATTTATTATCAAATGCAGGTTAAATCATTTATTTAGGATAAAATCAATCATTTTTCATTAGATCAAATATATAAATATATCTTTTTATCTTTTTTTTTTCTTTATTATATTTGATTTTTTTTAGTTTATATGTGTTTCTGATGTTTTTCACTTTTTTTAGCAGCGCATTTTTTTTAATTTTTTTATTTGTGAAAACACACAACCTTTCCAATTTATTTTTATTTTTTCTTTCTTTATTTTATTTTCAAATAAATCTATCTAAGATATTTATTTCCCACCAAAATTCGATATGCTACTTTTTTTTTGTAGTTATTCGCTTTTAGTTTATTTGTAACTAAAAATAAAAAACAGTACCTAAAGTTTTGATTAAAATAATTTTTCACAAATTTGATCAAACAAAAGGTTTTTGTGTTATCTGTTAATCAATCTTAGTTTTACCAAAATATCTTATTCTTTTTTTTTTTTTATCATACTGATCCTGAACTAAATGCAAAATTAAACTTTCAAAGAAGGAAATCCTCTGCTGCTAGTATATACAATTTAGATTCACCATTTAAAAACTTTTCATGGAACAAAGAAGAAGATGATTCCGATAATATCTTGGGTGAACATGAATCGATTGGCTCGATTTCATCAAATAATTCATCTCCAAGTTCTTCACCAAATAATCAAAATAGAATTTTAACAAGAAAAAGTACATCAAAAAGCTTTTATAGAAAAAGTAGTTTTTAAAATATATATAAATCTATTTTTTTTTTTTTTTTGGTTATATAAAAAATATTTTTTTTATAAAAAAAAAAAAAAAAAAAGGGTAACTTCAAAAAATTATATTATGTAAATATTTAAATAAATATATAGTAAAATAAAATACTGCAATAGTATTTATAAAAACCTAATATAGAAAATTCCCTTTTGATTATTTTTAATTTATATATATCTTTTTTTTTTTTTTTTTTTTTTACCACACATCAATTTAAAATTCTTTTTTTTTCTTTTTCTTTTTCTTTTTCTTTTTTATTTTTTATATTTATTTTTTTTATATTTCAAAGAGTTTAATTTTATAAAATATAAAAAAGAATAATACATTTTATTTATGTTTTTTTTTTCTTTATTTTTTATATTTTTTTCATTTTATTTTTTACCAGGAGACTTTGTTTGACCCCTCAATCGTTTTGTCATTATTTATTTATTTGTGAAAATTTTAATTTTTTTTTTTTCATTTTTTTTTTAATTTTTAATTTTTTTTTTCATTTTTTAAATTTTTTTTTTTTTAAATTATTTTTAAATTATATTGGGTATATATTTTATTATTTTTAGTTTTAAAATTATTAATAATTATAATATAGAATAAAATGAAAGATAGTCCCCCAAATTATCAAAAAGAAACACAAGCAACAGACGATTATAAAGATATTGAATTCCTTCAATGGCTTTCATTCTTTTTATTAATTGTTTTAATTCCAAGTACAATTTGGTTATGGAAGAAGTTCCATCCAAAGCCAACACCAAAACAATTCGATTGTACTTGTGAAGGTTGCGAAAAGAAATCAAATGAAAAAATTAATATTGAAAAGGCAGAAATGAAATCAACTCTCAACAAAGTTAAACTTTATTCAGTTGTTCTCCTTTGGTTATTATTTGCAGGTTTAATGTTTATCGTTGTTACAAGTAAACATGAAGTTGTCGAACCATATAATCCATATAAAATTTTAAACATTGAAGTTGTAAGTATTAAACTATAGTTTTTATTTTTATTATTTTTTATCTTTTTTTATTTTTTTATTTTTAAATTATATAATTTTATAAATTTATTTATTTATTTATTAATTTATTTATTAATTTATTAAGGGTGCAAGTGAATCAGAAATTAAAACAGCCTACAGACAATTATCAAAGATTTACCATCCAGATAAAAACCCAGATAAAGAAGATTTATATATGGAAGTTTCAAAAGCCTACAAAACTTTAACAGATATAGCTACACGTGAAAAATGGGAGAAATATGGTAATCCAGAAGGTCCACAAAGAATGAGTGTCGGTATTGCATTACCATCATGGTTAATCAACAAGAATAATTCACCAGTTGTTTTAACAGCATATTTATTGTTATTAGTTGTAGCATTACCAACTGCAGTTTTCTATTGGAATAAGAGTACTACATCAAAATTATTGGCACCAATCGAACAACAAACTCTTGCTCTCTATTATCATGTTATTGACGCACAAACTCGTCTTAAAGCAATGATTGAAATTCTTGCTGCCTCCACTGAATACAAATCTGCACTTCCAGATAGAAAATCAGACGAAGAAAACTTAAAAGTATTATATCAAAAGATCCCAAATGAATATAAAGTAAAAACACCACGTTTTGGTGCAGCATACATTGTCAAAGGTACAATCTTATTATATGCACACATCACTCGTATTAATTCCAAAGATATGGCTCCAACTCTTAAAGAAGATTTACAACACATTTTAAAGACCTATCGTCATTATTTAACTGGTGCCTTCCAAATTACAAGAGAAAAACGTCAATTAGCTGGTTTAGTTGAAATTTGTCGTATGTCACAATGTATTATGCAAAGCGCTTGGGAAGATCAAAGTCTTAAACAATTACCACACATTGACAATGTTTTATTACAATCACTCAAAAGCAGTGGTTACTCTGAAATCTCCAAATTCAAAAATATCGATAAAGAAAAGAGAAAGGAACTCTTAGCTAAAGGTTCACTTAACGATCGTCAAATTAAAGATGTTGAAAATATTCTTGAAAAGATCCCATGTCAAGTTGGTGTTAAATACAAGATCTCATCAGATTCACCAACTCTTTTAGCTAGCTCAGTCTGTATTTTAGAAATCGAATTCACCGATCAAATTGCACTCAAGAAACAAAAACAAGAAGATGCCTTAGCTGCCGCTTCAACAAAGAAACCAGCTGCCGCTTCAATCAAAGGTGGTGCTAGAAAGAGAGTTGTTAACAAAAAACAAACTGGTGCCGATAAAGGAGATAAAGCTATTGAAGATAAATCTGATGACGAAGAAGAACAACAAGAAGAATCATCTCCAAAAGAAGAAAAGAAACCAAAGAAAGAAAAGAAACAAAAAGAAAAGAAACTCGACGAAGACGGTAATGAAATCGAAGATGAGGAAAATGATGATTCAGATTCAGATTTCGATTCAGAATATTCAGACTCTGACGATGATGATACTTGGGAAGCAACACCAAAGAAATCTTTAATCAATCCAGCCAAAGAACTCTATCACACTCCATTCACTTTTGATGATAAACCAGTTAGTTTCTGGGTTATTTTAGGTAATCGTTCCAAAAATGAATTGGTTGCTTTAGGTAAAACTGAATCCTTTGCACCAGGTCAAACTCTTAAAATTCCATTCCTTTCAAGCGCCGAAATTGGTAAATGTAATTATACACTTTACGTTTTATGTGATGGTTATATAGGCTGTGATATCGAACAAGAAATCTCTATTAACTTGGAGAAAAATCCAAGACCAATCATTGTTCAACAACCAAATTTACCACCACAACAACCACCACCAGCAGCAAAAGAACAACCAACTGCCCAACAAAAACCAAAACAACAAGAACAAAAACCAGTTGCCGCCGTCCAACAAGAACAACCACCAGCTGTCCAACCACAACCACCAGCAAATCCACTTTCACCACAACCAAAACCATTAACCCAAAAACAAATTAATCAACAACAAAAACAAATGAAAAAACAAATGAAAGCTCAAGCCTCATCAAGCTCATCTTCACCACCAGAAAAAGAAAAAGCTAAAATCATATCTGAAGATTCAGAATAATAATGTTTTAAAATAGATATAATATAATATATAAAATAAAATTTTTTAAAAAAAAAAAAAATAGTAATTTAATATTTATTTTAGTTTTATATGTTTTATTTCTATTACTACAATTTATTTAAAAAAAAAAAAAATAAAAAAAAAAAAGTGATTTCTGTTGTGATTATAAATATTTTAGTTTTTTTTTATATATATATTGTTGTGTTGTATTATATTTTGTTTTCTTCATCAAAACCTAAAGTATTGGAAGTATCATTAATTGCATTTCCATCTTGGTGGATTAATGAAACATTTTGATTGGCCCCGTCTTGAGATTGACCATTTGGTGGTATTTTGTATTGAGTTGTATTAAAGTAACCAACACCGAAATAAACAACCAATGAAATAGCTGATAATGAAGCACCAATTGCATTTGGTAAAAATATAAATTTATCTTTGACTAATAGACCATAAAAAGTCCAAACAATACCTGCAAAACAAGAAATTAATGCTAGAGGTAAATTAATAACACTTCTGTCTCTTGACCTTATAACACCATACTATAGTTATTTTAAAAAAATAAAAAATATTAGTATTTATAAAATATAATATTATATGTATGTATGAACCTACTAATGATAAAACTGGTGACCCATAAAAAATTAAAACAGCTACATTGCAAGTATAACCAAATATAGTTTTTTGAGTTTCTAAAGATACATAAAAAATGATTAATAAGTGATAGACTGTTAGGGCTGTTAAATATCCAAAGTAAACACCTGTAACCAAACGACGTCTTTTTAAATCACTTGTTGCTGAAATAAAAACAATAATGAAATAACTTGTAATTAATAAACCAATGACATTGACGGGTATAATTGATATGTTTTTTATAATTGTGCCATAAACCACCCAACATAAAGAGTTGCCGCACAATGCTATAATGGGATAAATATTCATAGATCCCACATCTCTATTTCTGTCGATTTCTAAAAATTTTTTTCTATTTATTGTTATATAAAAATTAGTTAATAGTCTTCAATAAATATTTTTTTATTGAAATTCAACTTACAATGGTGAAAATGCTGTACCGGTAGATATTATATTACCAAGTATACTTAAAAGTGCTGCTAAAACTGACATAAGATAATATTTTATATATTTTTTTTACTTATAAGAATAAACGAGTTTTTTTGACAAAAAAAAAAAAAAAAAGACGTGTTTTGGTTCGATGTGATTTATATAAAATAAAAAAATAAAAAAATAAAAAATATTGCTATGTTATTGATAAAAAAATAATATGAAAAAAATTATTTTTGATTTTGATATTATTTTATATTTTTATTAATATAAAACGATTAGTTTGCGAAAAAAAAAAATAAAAAAATTAAAATAAAAAAATGTCAAAAAAAAAATAAAATAACGTTTTTACCTGGTGACACCTTACAAATCAATCAAGTTACACCAAAATATTATATATAAACAAAAAAAAAAAAATAAAAAGAAAAAGTTTATTTCTCTTTTAAAGGAAAAAAAAAATATTACATAATATTTGTTTAAATATTATGGTGGTAAAAAAAAAAATGAAAAAAAAATGAAAAATAAAAAATGAATTTAAAAAAAAAAAAAAAAAAAAAAAAAGAATTTAATAAATTTATACCTTTATTTTTTGCAAATAAGTTTATTCAATAAAAATCTAATTCCTTTTTGTCACCTCCTTACATTAAACATTAATTCTTGTGTTTTATGGTATTTATATTAAAAAAAATAATAGTGTTCTATTATTTTTAAATACAAATAATTTTTTTCTATTATTTTTAAATACAAATAATTTTTTTATTATAACAAATAAAATTACTATTTTTATCATTTTTATCTATTTTGGTTTTATTTTATTTCTGGTGGTTTTTTTTTTTTTTTTTTTTTTTGGGGAATTTTTAAATTTTATTAAAAACAATGAAATGAATTGTAAAATTATATGGATGACATTTGATAATTAAAGGAACAAAAATTAAAAATAAATTCTAAAAATAATATTTTTAACACATCGAAATAACATAGGCTCCATATTGTTGTTTTTGTAAACTGCATCTTTATTTAATTTATTTATAAAATATTTTACAATAAAATTTTGGTGTGTTTAAATATTTAAAAAAAAAAAAATAATTATTTTAAAATTTATAAAAAATTTATTTGAAAATTTTTTTTTAAATTTTAAATTATAATAACTTCATCATAATGCACTGAATCATTATAAAATTCAATTAGATTCACCTTTTAAATATTAAAATCAATCAAATGTTAAATAGATCAAATGTAAAGCCATAATGAAAGAGTTGTTTTCAAATGGGAAAAAAAGTATAAAAAAAATGAGGGCAATAATAAATAAATAAAAAAATAACCTTTAATATCAAAATAGTTATTAATTAATACTTTTTCATAAACCAAAGAAATAAATATGTTCAATGTAATTTTTTGTAGTTGTAGTTTTTTTTAGCTCACCCATTCTTATTTATTAATAACACACATTTTTATATTAAAAATAAAAAATAAAAAACTCCTTCCTCAATAAAAATAATAACATGTTATCTAATATGTATAAATGTGGTTTAAACCAAGATCTAAAATATAAATTATAAATACATATAATCTTACTTTTGATCATTTAATTTTTTTTGCTATACCAATAATAGCTTTTTTTTTTTTTTTTTTTGTTTATATTAATAATAGCATGATTTATAAATAAAAAAAGATAAATAAATCAATTTGTTTAAATAAAAAAAGATTAATGCGATTGCCTTACTGTTATTATCTAAACTCATTTCTAAAGGCGGTATTTGATAAGTGTTTTGTCAAAAAAAAAAAAAAACAATAATTTAAAAATAGCTTTTTATTTAAACAAATCATTTTTCATGTATATATGTGTATATTTTATTGATAAATGGTCAACCGCATTTTTTAAAATTAACCATTAATCAAAAAACCAACTCTCCTAACAACACCACAACCATCACTACTTTTTTTTGTACAATTTCTTATAGATTCATTATAGTTTTTTTATAAATTATAAATGTAACATTTAATCATCAAAATTTAAAAATAAAATCTATTTTAATTTTTATATTTAGTATTAAATTTTATTTTAATAATTAAAACAACTTTTAAAAAGGTTAAAAATAAAATTTTAAAAGAAAATAAAACTAAAAAAAACTTGTACTACATAGTTTTAATAAACTATTTAAATATTATTTTATTTTAAAAAAATCTCAAACAATTTAAATAAGAAAAGAATAAAAAGAGATTAAATTATATTTTAAAAATAGGGTAATCATTTAATCCAGATTAATAAATACACCTTTGTTTTAATAATATTAAACATATAAATTATTTCAAATTTAACAACAACAACAACAACAAAAATAATGACAACAGAATAATAATTATTTTGAAATAAATTAAAATAAAACCAATATCATCACTATTCATCAATATTACCTTCAAAAGTCACACTAATAATCACCACACAACCACTATTCTAAAACACACCTTTATTTTTATTATTACAATCATTCTTTTTATATTTTATATAATATTTATATATATACCCAAATCACTAAATCACACATAGAAAAACTCAATAACAAAAAAAAAAAAAAAACTCACACACCCACACTCCAACCCACACTCACCAAAAATTTGAATGAAAATTTATAACCTCAGTCAAATCACCTACATATGTACATATTACATTATAATTTTTATTACTATGATAAAAATTTTTAACCCACACAATTTTTTTTTTAAAAAACTAACACACACTCAATCAATTTTATTTGGTCTAATTTTGGGGTGTGGGTTTTTGTGTTTTTATAGTGGTTTTATCATTTTTTTCTTATTAATGAAATTCTAAAAAAAAAACTAACACTCAATCAATTTTAATATTCAATTTTTGTTTTTGTTTGTGTGTGTGTGTTGATAAATATAATTTCGTTCTTTTAATGTTTCTTTTTTTGAAAACTATTATTATAGTGAGGTGGTAATTTTTTTATTTTTATTATATTTTAAATTGTTATTATATTAATAAAATTAAAAGTGGTGTGGGTATGTTTTTTTTTTTGTTTTTTTTCTAATTGTGTTATTTATATAGTTTTTTTAATTGAGAAGTGCCACTACTCAAAAAAAAAAAAAAAAAAAAACTTTTTCAACACCCATACATTATTATTTCTATTTCAAAATATGTAATAACTACCCCCTTTCACCCACTCAACACACAGAATTTTATTATCAATATTATTTTAATTTGTTTTTTTTATTTTTTTTTTTTATTAACAGGAATGAAGGAAATAATATAAATAACTTCCGTTTGAAAAAAAAAAAAAAAAATTATTATTATTTATAATCCAAATCATATAACAAAAAATACACAACACACTTTAATTATATTATATATATATATTAATTTTAAATTGTTTATTACTATTATTTTTATATAACTACAAAAAGTAAATTATTTTAATTTTATTTTTATTTTTATTTTTTTCAACATTGGTGTTATAATATTATCAAAATCCCTTAAAATCAAAATATTACCCACACTCACGCAAAGGCGCAATATATACAGATAAACAGCCAAACAAATTATTAATGTATTGATAATATATTTATTTCATAATATATATTTAACCTCAAAATCACACTATCACTCGATATAATTAATTAGTTTTTTTGTTGATTTATAACTTACTCACTATCAAAATTATAGAAACAACATAATAATAACAATAAAATTAATAACACCAAAAAACAAATAATACAGTAATAGAATTATAATATATTTGGAATTCAAAAAAATTCAAAATTTATTATTAATTCAATTTTTTTACACTTTAAAAAAAAAAAATAGATAATAATTATTTTTAACCACTTCCACCACCACCACAATCATTATCAACAACAATAAAAAACAATAGACCCCACTACCAACATTTAAAATAATTATAATAATTAGAATCTCATTTTTTTGAAGTGAGTGACTTTTATTATTATTATATATTTTCTTGTTTTTTATATCATAAAACATATAAAATAAATAGAAAAAAAACAAAAAAAAAAAAAACAATATCACTGTACACAAATAAACACAACAAAACACCACACCCACTCCTCAATATACTGCTCTGTTTGTGATCTTTTTTTTTTTTTTTTTTTTTAAATTATTTGTAATATTTATTTTTTTTTGTTTTATTTTTTCCTCTCTTTTTATTATTTTTTTCATTTGTATTTTTAATTTTCATTTATATAACAATTATATATATATAAAATATAATTAATATATGTTTATTTATTAATTAATTTTTTAAATCATTGTTTTATAGATAAATTATTTTTTTTAAACCAAAAAAAAAAAAAAATTCAAATACCAACTTGATTTCATAAAAATAAGAAATCAACCAACTAATCAAATACGACAACAATCCTCACAAAACTATAACAAATTAAATAAAACAAATTACAAATACAATTAAAAATGAGACTTGAAAGAGATGAATCTATTTTAGTAAGTATAATATTTTCATTTTTAAAAAAAATATTATTAACTAATGATTATTTTTATATATAGGCCCAGTTAAGTTATAAGCATATTAAAGATAAAATGCTTTATTCTGCCGTTATGAAGAAAGCAGGTGGTAATAAGAAAGGATTTTTATCTAGATTATTTGTACTTTATAAAAGTTATATTATATATTATAAACCTAAAAGTCTAATTAGCACACCAGAGAAACCACAAGGTTATATCGATCTTAGAGAATGTGATCCAGCAAAGGTAAAAACAATTTTAGATGAACCTGATATGACATTCCAAATTGTTCACAGAGCTGGTAGAATTTTCTTAATTAAAGGTGAGGAAATGTCATCTTTCAAACAATTTTATGAAGTTTGCAGAACAGTTGCCTTAAGACTAACACATATATCATTTACTCTCCCTAATGAAAAGGCAATGCTATTAAATCAAATTTTAGAATGCAATATGACAAAAGAGGAATTTAAAACCAATGTAGAAGTATTTTTAAAAGATGGATGTAAGTATTTAAATAATTCTAAAATACAATAGAGGTTTTATAAAACTAATTATTTTTATTTGTTTATTTAGTTATCTTTAATGTTAATTTAATTACTCCAGATAGAACTGCAGATGTCCAAACATTTGTTCAATATATACTTGGTTTAAGAAAAGAAGAAATTACACTTCAAATACGTATAGCTAAAATTATGATCGAAAGTGGTAAAAAACAAAACTGTTCAATGATGGGCATTGCATCACCTGCTCCTGCTACTATAGCTCCCGATCTTATGGTTACTTTAGTAATCCCTGAAAATGAACCATTACCAGAAGTTGCCAAACTCCAAAGAGATTTACAAAAAATTAGATATGACATTGAGGAGCATAGATTAAATATCTTTAATATTCAAGCCAAAGACTGCATTGACCAGGTAAAAGTTAAAATTCCAACTTCATCCTAAAAAAAAAAATTAATTTTAAAATACTTATTTATTTATATTTCTCAAAAACATTTCTTTTCTAAAAACAAAAAAAAAAAAAAAAACCATATATATTTTTCTGTAAATAATTATTCGTTTAAAATTAGTTTTAACAAAAATAATCAATTAATATTATTAATAAAATTTAATTTTATTTTTTTAATTAAATAAATAAACATATAAAATTTAATAATATTTAATTTTTTAAAACTTTTTCCTTATTATTTATAAATACTAATTGTTCTATACCTGCAATTAGCCAAAAACAATCTAACAATAATAATCTTGGATAATTCAAATTCAATTCAAATCTAAATAGTTTAACATTAAAATTATAAACTCTTTTATATAACAAATAAGATTTATAAATAATATACAATTTTTAAAAAAACAAATAAATTTTAAACAAATAAATTTTTTTTTTTTCTTTTTTTATAAAAAAAAGTTTAATCTTTATATATAATTAAATTACAAATTTATTAATTTTTTTATTATTTTTTTATAATGGAATACCAGCAACGACTTCGTCTTCGATACCGCATTCATCACTACCTCTCTTGATTAAGAAAATACCGTTATCACCCCATGAAGTGGTCCATCTGAATTTTAGATAAAAATTATTTTATTAGTAAAATGATTTTTTGCTTTAAATTTATATTTTAATACTTACGAGTTAGCAACTGACCAATAGTTAACACCATTAAGAGTACCATAACCAAAGATTTTAACACAGTGACCACCTAAGAATTTACCGGTAGTGTGTTGGTAGACACCTGATTTGTAACCTAAGAAATCTTCGTAAACAGAGAAACAAGCTTCGACTGGACCGTTGGTTGAAATTTCTTGCATAATAGCTTCGACACTGTTGATTGAATAGATTTTAGCCATTTTGTGTTTATCTTGTGAATAAATTAAAGTTGAGTTTGATTCGCATTGTTTAACACAGTTTGGAGTGTTAACGAAATTTAAACATGGTTGTTGGGCTGGTGGACAGGTTGGGATGGTATATGGTTTACATTCTTGAGTGACAACACCTTGTTTTTTTAAAAAGTTCCAAGCGCTGACATCATCACCACCTTCACAACCATCATCGCTTTGGTCACAGGTAACTAAATCTAAGAAACTTAATTGAACATCTAAACCTTTGTGGATACAAATTCTATCTTGAGCAGATTCGACAGCACCGAAAGCCCAACATGAACCACAACGAGCTTGATTTTCGATATAACCAATGGTAGTACAATTGCTCCAAGCGGTACGTGAATCAAAGCTAGCTGGAGCTTTAATATTTGGATCGGCATTTAAAACTGGGATTGATGGTCTGTTTAATGATTTTTTGAAACCTAATAATGAACCAATTTTGATGTTATCGAATTGATCATTCTTTTCTTCTACCCAAGTATCGTGTTGGATTCTTTTGTGGATATGGTGTGGTGGACGGATGTCAATCTTTACTGAAAAGACAACGTTTAATAATAAGAAAACAACAACTAAAGCAAATAAAACTCTCATTTTATTATATATAATAATATCTATATAAAGCACGAATATAAATAATATTATTTATGAAAGTAAAAAAAAAAATTTTAAAATTTTAAAAAAAAATTTCAAAAAAATAAAAAAAATAAAAAAATATAAAAATATAAAAAAAATAAAATAAAAGTTAAAGTAATTTTCCGTTTTTTAAAAAAATAAGACAATAAAATGCATTGGAAAAATAATAAAAAATAAAGAAATATCCAATTTTATTTTAATAGTTTAAATTTGATTATGTTTTTAAAAAAAATATCTTTTTTTTTTATCCAATTTTATTTTTTGAAAATTGGGTTTTTTTATTATTTGGTTTTAAAATATTTAATTATTTTATTTATTTATTATCCATTTATTATCTATTATTTATTATTTATTTTATTAAATTTATTGTATTGGAGTGCCCAGTTTTTGTATTTCATTCCCGACTTCGTTTTGTTCCTGTATAATTTCTTCAAATTCTCGATTATCTCCTAAATTATCCCTCAAAGAAACATCGAAATCTTTTTGAATTTCAAAATCTGAAATAATATTATTTTCTTCTTCCTGTATACTTTCTTTGTGTTCATTTTCTAAACTTTCAAGTGCTTCGTCAAATTTTGAAATATCATCTTTTTTATTTAATGATTCGGTTCTTTTATATACACTTGTATGTGATATGGCCACAACCTTATCAAACACTAAATCGAATAAATCCACAAATGAAATTAAACAAAATATAATTGCGCTGCAGTACCTAAGTAGATTTAAAGATTCCCTGTCATACCTATTTTTATAAATATATTCCCCAATATCTCTTGCAATTTCGTTACAAATTACCTTTGTTTGATTTTCTGTTATAAATCTTTCACCTTTTTCTGTATCTGGAATATTCATAAAACCTTTAGTGACATTATCTATTTCCGACATTAGTCTTAATAAATTCAATGAAATTACTTTGGATATTTCATTTAAGTGTTTTCTATATAAAAATAAAAAAATTGATAAGTTAAAAGTTTTGTATAAGCAATTTTAAAATAAAAATATAAAACTACATACTTTGGTAAAGCTGAAACAATAATGAATTCTAATGACAGTAGCGCGTGAAACATTTTAGTTTCAGTAAAAAGTAGCCTTCTTAATTGATAATATTTTTTCTTTCTTAATGGAAATAGTTCATATCTCGAATAATATAAAAGAACTCTTTGAATTGGTATTTGGTATCGTAATAAATTTAATTGCTTGTTCATTGTAGATCTAAACATCTTTTGATTCATTTCATTCGGTAAATGTTGTTGTATGTAGTTATATTTACTGGGCTGATAAAATACTTGACGAGTTTCTAATGGCACAATTGTGGGATCTAACAGTGTGTTGCAAATTAAGAAATTAAAGCTTTGGGATACTTTAAATGGAAATAAATATAGGTTGTTTTTAAGTTGTCGGTGGTCATAATATGGACTAACAGTGATAGATATAATATAAACTAAACCAACACCCACTAAGATGTGCATCATTCTAAATAGTGATGTGATAATTGATGGTGAGTTATTTGGATATGCAAGAAAAGCAATAATTACAAAGGATAAAATAAAAAAGAGAACCAGTTTTTCAAACATTTGAGCTCTTGTATAGATCGAACCAAAAAATGAGCATAGGAATGTACTGGCAGCGAAAATAAATGCTCTTGCTACATCATTATTGGTTGTGGAGTAAATAACAGCTGCTGTATAGCCCAAAATAGAACCAAAAACCGCACCTGTAATACGAAGAATTGAAAAGTATGCTATCGCACCAATGGATGGAGCACTAACTAGACAATATGTAATAACAGCCCATGCTAAGTTTCTAAATAAAATAAAAGATTCATGTATTTTTAATTCGTAATAAACAATAGAGAAAATTGAAACACCAAGGGCCAGTTGTAAAGAGTAGACCCATTTTGAGAATAATCTAAATGATACTAATCCCCATAATTTTTGAGCTTTTTCCTTTAAAGTGTAGTGTGGGTGAATGATATGAGGAAATTCATTATAATCGATTCTATACAGTTCATTTCTTTCCTTTCGTCTTTTATTCCATGTTGTTACCCATATATACCATTTCTTGAAAATACTTTTAAACATTGTTATATGTTGAGACTCTTTACTTTTACCCCATAACTTGAATGACAGCATAAACACAGTCGATGATAGTATCTTTTGATCTTTTGAAAACTTTTTAAATGCTGAAACCAAAAAGTTTACTCTTGTTTCTTCATCAATATTTTCAATGCCAAATGATGTTTCTGGGTCATATATTTCTTCTAATTGATTATTGATATCTTTAATAGTTCTTTCTATATAATCGAAGCACATTAAAATTTTATATTGGCTGTATTCTAGTGTTTTGTGTTTCTTTAAATCTTTAAAACGTTGTAATGATTCAGTGGACTTTAAATAATCGATACCTTTTGTTAAGTTGTATTCTATAATATTTTCCATATCTATGGTTGTAAAAAGTTCATTTCCAGATATTTCAATTTCTGGAGTGATATCTACAGGTTTGTATTTTAGACCGATTTGTTTGTGCATAATCCTAAAAATTCTTGATGTTTGATTTATTAATGTATTTAAAAAAGGTAATATAACCAATAGAGTTCTGGACTTTTCGACGGTAATATTTTCAAAGAATGCCATGTTTATTGTTAAAAGCTTTTTGTGGTTTGTCTCTAATAAATATGAGATTTCATTAAAATAACCAAACATATCTTTGTTCCAAAATTCTTTTTTAGCCTCTAATAAATACTTTTCCATTTGGTTTAAATTTCTTGAGTTTTCAACATTAAGCTTCTCAAGTGAAATTTTAAAATAATTGTGGGTATCATTTTGATGTTTTGGGTTTTTTAAAAGAGATTTTTTAAAATTATAATAGTGATTTACGATATCTTCCCCACCTTCTAATGATCCATTGTTCTTAAATTTCGTGCTGTCTTTAACATTTTCTTTAACATATTCTGGTTGGTTTGAAATCTTTTTATCTTTTGAAGTGGTTGTAAATTCTGACATCATACTGCATGTTGATTCGTCATCCCTATCATGGTTTACTACATCTGACAATGGCGATAAATGAATTGGTTCTTGTTTTCTTGGTTTTAAATAAATGGGAACACCTAGTTTCTTTCTTAGTTTTAATGGGCTTCCTTGGCTATGATCTTTTAGACTGCCATTATAATCGGCCTCAATTCTGTTGGTAATGGACTTTACAATGTTTCTTTGATAGGATGAATCTAATGGATAGTTGATGGACTCTAGTGTCTTGATCTCCAATTCTCTTTCGATGGTACATATTAGTTTTCTTGAGGTTTTTAGATTTTGTCGACAGCATTGGATATAGTAATTAGATGAAAAATCCATTCTAAAAATTAAACCCACCACTATCACCAATATTATAGGAGAAACACCAGTTAAAAGAAACTTTAAAAAAGGTATAATGGATCTATCATCTGGCCTATTAAAATAAACCAAGTTGAAATATGGCAGATACATAACTTTTCCTAGATTATAGGGCAGCACATTTGAACCAGTTACCATTATGGCACTACTGATATACACGAATACAAGTGTTATAAATACAGACGTCCAAACGTGATTAAAAGTAATTTGAAAACTAACAAAACCAACTACCAATCCAATAAATATGGCCAATAAAACTCTAAACTGATTTTTTATTAATATATAAAATGATTCACTATTGATAATACTAACACCCAAAAACAAAGTGTTGAAAACTGCAAAGTAAATTGTAAAGAAGTTTCTAAATACATCGATAACTAAAAACAATATTGATAATGTAATGTTGGCTGAAAAGAATAAACTAAAGTATACATTTCTTTTTATTTCTGATACTGGCTTGTTCCATAGCGGAAATAGATAATTTCTAAAAACCATATTAGTATACTGCTAAAATTAGAATTTTAAAAAATATAGATTCTGAACTTACTTTAATAGTTTTATATATTTCATACTTTTTTTTTTTTTTTTTTTTTACATTTGCTTTAAAACTAACAATGTCTATTGATTTTAGATTTTTATTTTCTTTTTAGGTTTCATAAATTTCTTTTGTTTTAAAAAAATAAAATAAAAATTTATTTTTTTTAATTATTATTTTAAAATTTTAGTTTTCTGTTTATTTACTTTTAAAACATTGAAATATTTTTTTTTTTTTACTATTATATCTATGGTGGGATTATTGCTATTGAAATAAAAAAAAAATAAAAAAAAAGGTGTGGGTGTGTTTAATTTAATTTAAAAAATTAAAGAATTTTAATTTATATATGAATGTGTGTTCATTATTTTCTATATATGCCATTAAATCTTTTTTTTTGTATTTATTTTAAATAAAATTAACTGAAAATTTTTTCAACAAATAATGGCATCACTATGGGTTGTATAATTTATTTTTTCTTAATAATTAATAATTATTTTGGATAAAATTAATTGCTTTTATAATAAAAAAAAAAAAAAATAAATCAAAAAAAAAAATTAAAAAATTAAAAAATTTAAAAAAAATATATAAAAAAAAAAAAAAAAAAAATTTTAATTTACACAACATTTAAATTATTTATAATAATTATATTATTGTAAAATCTATTTTTTTATTATTTATTATAATTTTTTATTTATTTTTTATTAAAAAAATAAAAACAACTATGGATGATTTACCATCAGAAACATTAGTTCTCATACTAAAGAATTTAAAAATCAACGATTTATTATCAACAAGCAGGGTTTCAAAATTCTTTTACTCATTATCGTCCGATGATAGACTATGGAAAGATTTATTTTTACAAAGATTTTGCAACTCATCCATCATAGATAATGAAAGGGAATTAAATAATTTAAGAGTTGAATTAATAAGAAAAACTGGATTATATAATAATAGTAGTAATAGTAATCATAGTAGTCCCAATTATAATAATAATAATAATAATAATAATAATAATAATAATAATAATAATAATAATAATAGTCACCCACCCTCACCAAATGATAATAACCAGATAACAATCAATACAAGCTCAAATTCAAATTTAAACTCAAGCAATAATAATAATATTGAAACCTACGATGATATATTAAATAAAATTTACCAAAGGGTTAATTATTTTCAAGTAAAGGTACTATTGGGTTATCAAAAGAGAATTAATGGATGGAAGAGTTTTTATAGAAGACATGTATTATTACTTTTAAGCAAAGGTTGGTTTATATTTTAATAATATACATTATTAAAATGATAAATATATTTACTAATTTTTAATTCAATTTATAGGTTTAGTGGACTCCATACAAAATGGAGATAGCAAACTAACAGATCATCTCCTTTCTATTGATCTATTAAAATATAACAACACATTCTCCACTGCTGCAGAGCTTGTGACAAAAAATGTAAGATATAACATCTTCCTTATATAAATATTATTTAATTAATACTTTTTTTTATATTTATAGAACCAACCAGAATACTTGGATAAAATTTTAAAAGTATTTCCTGTTGATGGTATTCTAAAAGATTTTTACCTCAATCCATATATGAGATTAATTACGAAAGCAGTACAAAAAAACTCAATAGCATGTGCAAAACTATTATTAAATCATGGTGCCGACATCACCTATTCAAACACTGGTGTTCTTTTAATGGGTTCAAAAAACAGATCATTTACATTAAATGGAGAGTTTGGTAATAAGTAAGTACATACATTACATTGGTTAGGTTTAATTAAATTTGAAGGTATTTACAAGTTTTTTTTTTTTTTTTTTTAGGCCTGTGGGTACTTTTCAAAAACTTTGCCCAAATAATAATGAGCTATCTCATTACTTTTTAGATGCTCTTTTATCACAGGTTGTATTCTTTATCTGTGTACACTCCGGAAATGAAATGACTTTACAGGAGTATATTAAATCAAATAGAGCACCTGTATTTTCAAATAAAAGAACTGGTATATGGGACTCTGGTTTTCAGGTTTTAAGGTTTTCAGGTCTATTTAGTGAATACAACTATGGGTATAACACATTCATACCATATAGATACAGCCGTTTAAATAGTAACAATAGTACACCAACTCTTGGCGGAGTTAATACCAATCAAAATAATAATCAAAACAATAATAGCAGCAATAATAATGGAAATCAAAATGATAACTATGAATTTATTAATCACAATCACCATAGCTCAATAGGTAGTAATGATGGTGATGATCAAGTTTCAATAGAAAATCGGACCAAAATTAAATTTTCACAATTCAAAATGATAGAAAAAACATTATCACAAATTACAGTCGATTGGTCATCAGAATATTGCTCTTATACCCCTCTTCATTGGTCTGCAAAAGGTGGCTATATAAATAATATAAAAACACTAATAAAAATGGGTGCTGATATACACGCCCAAACAGCCTCAGGAAAAACGGTCTTAGATATCGCCAGAGAGAATAATAGGGAAAACTGTATTCCATTCTTAGAAAATCAAATGGTAAATATAAAATTATATTTATAATACAAAAAAATATAAAAAACTATATAATTTACTAATACCTGTCTTTTTCAGTCAAAACTAATAAATATAGGAAAATTCGAGCCACTATTTAGACTGATTGAGGATGGTGACGTAATTGGCTCAATTAAATTTATATCAACGTTTATGTTTGAAAAGCAGATAAAATATTTAGAAAAACCAATAGTTTCGAAACTAATAACCCATTCAATAGAAAACAATCAACCAAAAATTATGTCTGCTCTATTACCATGTTGCTCATCTTCAAGTGATGTAGATGGTAATAGCCCAACTCACTATTCTGCTGCCTTGGGAAGGTTAGAATGTTTAGAGGTCGCCATTATTAATGACGATATAAACAAAGTTAACAAATGCTACCAAACACCTTTGATTCTTGCAACTATGAATGGCCACACACATATTGTTAAATATTTATTAGAAATTGGTGCAAACGTTGATACACCAGATTGGCAACTAAATACCGCGCTACACTATGCATCCCCATTTCCAGAAATTGTCTCATTATTATTAAAGTATAATGCTGATACTCTTCAAATAAACTATCTTTACAAAAATAGTATCCACTGTGCAGTTGAAATATCATCAAATAATAATCTGGCCCAAAGATGTAATAGTTTAAAACAACTCTTAAATTCAATCGATGATAAAAATCAAATTAACAATCCGGATATATTTGGAAACACAGCTTTAATTTTAACCCAATATCACGACTATTTAAATGACTCTGGAAATAATATCAACCATTCAAGTGATGAAATGTCAAACATTATATTAACTGAATTACAAAATAATCATCTATCAGCAATTACATCAAAGACTAATATTTTAAATTTATCTTTTGAAGATTTCAATCTTATTTCAAAAAAATCACCAATCGAATTAGAGGAATATTTATCATCCACAAACCCATTAAAACCCACAGTAGCTATGTTAGTAATTTCAAAATTAGATGGCAATATATCTTTAGAAACTTTTGATAAATTAAAACTACAACACCACCTAATGTTAGAAAGCTATTTCAAAAAACTAAAATTCTTAAATTGCTACAGCCAAATGGTGCATATATTTAATAATAATGTTGACTCTATCCAATCCATTTTAAACACAATATCACAATATCAATTAAAATCATTTTCATATGACTCTTGGGAAAAGGTAATATATCCATAACTTTTTAGATTTTATATCGATAACCATACTAATAATAAAATTCCTATTTAGATTTTTTCAAATTATTTAACTGTTAATAGATTTGAAATACCCACCTTTATTCTAAGCAACTTAAATAACTATATGAACTCTACAACATATATTGATAGGTTCCAAGGATTCATTGTAAATAGTTTGCTACACTCACCAGCAATACCAGAAAAATATTGCAGAAGCCTATTAGCGCCATATAGAAATAGATTAGATACATCAACCTATACAAATGCAATTGCCTATGATAATGTTGTCATGTTAAAATCAATTATAATAAGAGATGATTCAGAGGGCGATAGTGATGGAAATAATAGCCCACCTAGTGAAACTCCACCACACGATGAATACCTATTAAAATCGTTTGAATTCTTTCATCTACCATTACCAATCTATTGGATTTTTTCAAGAGCTGTTAAAAATGGAGCAATCAAATGTTGTAGATTCCTTTCAGATATATTATTCAAAAAATCATTAGATACCAACTATACCCATTCACTTTTAATCAATGCACCAGAATTAAGGGGAATTAAAAATCGCTCAAATATAATTAATATACTATCACATTTCGATAGCAATTCAATCATTAAGGCACTTCAAGATCATCCATCATCACCAAATGGAAATGCATATTTAGACACAAACAGCTCAAGTAATAATAACCATAGCTCCGGTGTACCAATAGAAATTGACTATCATAAATTTTCAGAACTACACCCTGTCGAATCATCCGAGCGTCATCAATGTGAATATTGTGGAATTAAAGATATTATCGATTTAGAAGATCATTTATTAATATGCCTAAATGCCAAATACCCATGCCCAAATAAAATAAATGGATGTTCAGAATCACCAATGACCAAATCCCAACTCTTAAATCATCTAAACAAATATTGTCAATATTTACATTGTTCTCAATGCGACTCTATGTTTAACAGAGTTGATTTCATCGATCATCTCCTTACCCACGATTCAGACACATGGGAAATTTGCTCGCTATGTAATCAAATGCTAAAAGGTTTTTCGTCATGTTATAAAAGCGATATTATACATATTAGAGACTCATCACTACCAAACAGTAACTCTGCATCCAAAAATAATCATCAAAAACCTAATCACCTATTAAGTTCTGAATATGAACATTTAAAAACTTGTAAAAATCACTATATCAAATGTCATTGCTGTAAAATAACTCTTCACATATCAGAATTAAAAGAACATAAATGTTTAGTAGTTTCAAAATTACCCATATTTAGAAATCTTTTAAATATCCAAAATAATAATTTGATTGATTTAATTTAATAGAAAATAAAACCCAAAAATTAAAAGGAAATTGAAATTATAAAAAAAAATTGTAAAAAATTATAACGATAATAAAAATAATAATAATAAAAAAATTATAAAAAATCATAACGATAATAAAAATAATAAAAATAATAAAAATAATAAAAATAAAACATTAATAATCAAAAACAATCAAAATCAAAATCAAAATCAAAATCAAAATAATAAATAATAAATAATAAATAATAAAATAATAAAATAAAATAATAAAATAACAATAAAAAAATAAAACAAATAATTAATTATAATAAAAATAAATAAAATAATTTTTAAAAATAAATAATTAAAATAATTATAATAAATATAAATAATAAATAAAATAAAAAAATAATAATAATAATTTTATTATTATTTAATTTAAATTTAAAAATCAAAAACTATCAGTATAATAAATATATTAATATTTGTTTTTTACTATTAATATATTTTTACTATATTAATAATTTATATTAATTATAAAAAAATTAAAAATTAAAAAATAAAAATAAAAAATAAAATAAATAAAATTAAAAAATTTAAAAATGGGTGAATTTTTTGGAAAAAAGAGAAAAATAATATAATTTTTTTTTTTCTTTTTTTTTTTTTTTTTTATATTTTTTATTCACACTCGCTTTAAAATAATTTATATATATAAACTTAATTTTAAATAACAAGTTTTTAAGTTTTTTATTTTTTTTTTCAATAAAGCAGTACTTCGTATTAATAATAATCATCATATATATTTTATTCTCTTATAAATTGTAAAATAAAAAAAAATAAAAAAAAATAAAAAAAAATAAAAAAAAGAGATAAAACAAGGAATTATAAAACAACAATAAAATATTAATAAACAATAAATACTATAAATAAATAATATACATAA